CTATGCTGATCAAACCTAACCTTATACTCAAGAAGCTAGAAATTCTGGAGGTGGATGTTAAGTCATATCAGAGTGCACTTGGAGCCTTCATGTATGCAATGCTGGCCACTAGGCCAGACCTTGCCTTCACTATTGGTGTCCTTAGTTGCCATGCTGCCTGTCCTGGGCATGAGCACTTCACCACACTAAAGTGCATCTTTCATTATCTGTGATGCACTCCCAATGCCTGTCTCACCTATACATGAGACTTGAATGCACATGCAATTGAGTATGTTGATGCAGACTGGGTGGCTGATATCAACAACCATTGTTCTGTTACTGCCTACATATTCACTCTTTGTGGTGGTGCTGTCAGCTGGTCATCAAAGAAGCAGCCTTCTATTGCTCTCTCAAGTACAGAAGTGGAGTACATGGCTGCATGTGCAGCTACCAAGGAAGCTGTTTGGATACAGACTCTCATTGGCAAACTCAAGACTGCCTTGTCACCTGATCCCACTCCCCTCCTTATTGACAATCAGTCTGCTATCTCATTAGCCTGAAATGTGATGTTCCATGACCACACCAAGCACATTGCTATTTTCCACCACTTCATACAAGAGAAGGTGGACTCTGGAGAAGTTGTCATTGACTATGTGCCTACTGGTGATCAGGTAGCTGATGTCTTGACCAAGGGTCTTTCCAGGGAGAAGCATGTTCATTTCTCTCAAGCCATGGGTATTATTTTCTCTTAATTCTCTGACTATACTCACTGAGGGGGCATGTTGGAGTTTGACATATTTACCTTAGTTGTGTTCCAGCAAGCACAGAATTATGTAATGGAAAAAGCATACACTTTGCAGTTACTTATTTACCTGCACCTCAGCTTCAACCAACTTGAAGTCTGAGAATAATCCTTCCTTTCAGTCCAGTACTTGACTCCCTCTGCAGTTCATCAACCTTCAAAAGGGAGTTGACTTGTTACCAGAGGATGACCCCTGGTTCTTACTGGACTGCTGAACCTCCTCCTTGCATTCCCAGTAGCATGCATCAATCTCCTGGGCTAGGTGGCAAAGTTTGTGGAGGGTTCTGGGTTTGCCAACCTGGAAGACCTCATCCCTGATATGATCAGGGAGACCAGTGTAGAAATAGTGGTGCAGAGTGCCATCACCATACCCCCAGACTTGTGAGGCTAGCCAGTTGAACTTGACTACATATTTGTTGACCTGGTGATTCTCCTTCATCTGGAGGTGGTCTAGCTGGCTTTCAGCATCAGCCATCAGGCTGTGGGGTCCAAAGGTAGTTTGGAGCTCTATGATGAACTCCTTCCAAGAGTCCATCCAATAAGGCTGGTCCTCTGGGTCTTCAGTCCCAAGTAAGCCCAGTTCAAACCACTTGAGAGCCATCCCTTTCAGGAATGACTGTGTGAAGGTGTTCATCAAGTGGGGACTGAAACAACCACATAAGACCTTTCAAACCAAACAACAGACCTGAGGTGACTCAAATTCTTATGTTATTTATGAAATAATGACTGACAACATCATGCTCAACAAAGTGTTCCAATGATCTATCATTTTAAAATGGTTATATCTCAGTGCCATGGTTACCAAATTACATGAGCAAGCCCTCATTGTCAAGGTAACAGTTAGTGCTATTTTCAGTCCTGCAGGAGTTTGAACTAATTCCTATTGGTTCTCTCATAAATCTCAAATCCTTCCAAAATCACCCAACATTGGGACAATTTTTTGAGCCACTGTATGTATCTGCCTCTGGATGACATCAGTTAGGAGGGCATTCCACTGGTTGCATTTCCATTCAATCACTATGATAGCAGCTCATGCCTGTGCAAGGTCTTGGTTTAACCTTTGGTTTTCTGCTCTTAAGGTGTCAAGTGCATCTTGGAGGTCAGTGAGTTGGTCCTAGATATCACCCATGGCATTCTGGGGCCTTTAGGGAGTGATGGAGGTGAAAATTGTAACAAGGAGGTTGGGGAGCTGCAGGGAGGGAGCAAGGATAAATTGAAGGAACAGAGAAAGGGTAGGATGGAGGCAGGGGAAGGGGGTGAGTGATGGAGTTGAAAAGTAGGGTGAGGGACCAGTGCTCACAAAGGACAGGATCAAAGAGGTTTGGGTTGGGTTCAGAGGCTGGTGGACTTGGCAAGTACACCCACAAGCCCTCTCAAAGGAAGCAAGGAATGGTGATGGAGAGTGGTGCAAAGGTACAACAAGTAAAAGCTAGTTCAAGTGTGACAATCCTAACAACTGGTTGTTGTAGGTTCACACCCAAGAACCAAAGAGAAGAGATGAGAGAAAAAGAGGAGATGACTTAGAAGCAGAGAGCTTTAGGAGCCATAGGCCCAAATGAACTAGCTTTGGACTAGTCTGGAAATTGGATAACAATGACAGGCTCTGTTTAATGTTGGGATGGCAAGGTAGTACCTACCCAAAGCCATGACAGATTTCATCACAATCACTTATTTGCTAGACACATGAGGGACCCCAACACATGTGGCGAGTGAACTATTTTACTTGCCAGCACAAGTGAGACAGTGAAAAACCTTTTGGAAAACCAAAAAAAAGGGATCATATATTGAGTCAGTTACACAACCAGAGAAAATACAAGAACAAATGATTGAGCAGAATTTTGCATGGAAAAAACCCTTAATCCGACAAAGCTAAAAGCATACTAATTGCCAGTAACATTCCCAACAGACGAAAAAAATAGAAATGCAAAGAAGCAAGTACTACGTGGCTTTCGTGGTATGGCTCACCTTCGCAGCAAGGTTCACAGCTGCTCTGTTACGTCCTTGCCTCCATCTCCGGGCTTCAACGCACTAGATGATGAGCCAGGCGATACCGACTCCTCCAAACCGGCAGGCACAGGGTCCTGAACGACTACCTCTGCATTGTGATGGTGGATGACATCCACATGTTCCAACACTTCCTTTTCCGATTCCTGCTTGAAGTTGAAAAGGTCTTCGCTGAACTTCTGGTGTTCAGGTGACATGTGGGCTGCCAGCGTCGACATGCGCGTCATGGCCATCATACTAAACACGGTTTTGCGGACTATGATAACCGGCGATGCATAAGTACCGGTGCCGAAATCAGAACAGCACTAGGAATGGAAAACGCACACGTCTTCCTCGCATTGAATGCTTTCTTAACCTGCGGCAACAAGTTTGCTGGCTGACCGTCCTTCTCAACGCAGTGTGGCACCTCGGCAGTGAGCCAAGGGTGCTGCAGTGCCTCCGCTGCTGTGGGACGTATATCCGGGTTCACTGTGAGACAGCTGCTAACAAAGCTGCGCGCAGTGTCGGAAACATTGTTCCAATATTCCTCTTGTACGATCATTAGTCTATAATGGAAAACTGGCGCTATGAGCACGATAAAAGCGCACCAGGCTCGAAGCGGTAGTCCCCTGCAATGATAGCGTCTATTTCTTGCTTCTGACTGTCGCCATCAAACGGCGGATACCCTATGAAACACAATCTTAAAGCAGGAACGGAAGGTGCTCAACTGTTAGCCTTACCAGCAAGCAGGAAGTACGTTATGACTCCCATAGCCCAAACATCTACAGGCTTCCCGTAGCCAGCTGTAATTTTTTAGGTCATGTGAAATAATGCACGACAGAGATGGCCTACTCCTCTTGAGGATCTCCGGAGCCATGTACTATTTGACTAATGTCAGTTGCTGCGCAGGAATATCGAATTGAATTAAGAGTACACTCGGCGCCCCACACATCTCAGTAAACATACTAAACTTAGAGTCAGGCATGACTCGGCTCATACCAAAGTCCGCGATCATGATTTCTGAAGTGCGCTCGGGATCGGAACGGAAAAGGAGGTTTTCTGGCTTGAGGTTGCGATGAACGATGCCACAATCGTGGATATACTTGACGGCTTCCAAAATCGTGCGGACAAGATCCGCGGCATCGCTGGGGAAATACAAGAGTGAGTACTGCAGGGGACACAGAAGAATCGGTGTGGTTACGCTTCCGTGTACTGGCCTCTGTCCCATATGCTGTCGAAAAGTTCACCGCCTGTGCACAGGTCGAAGCATAGGTACAAATTTTGAGCAGTCTACAGTCGGATGTACGTGAAGTGCAGGTGACTGGTACGGCTAGACTCACCTCGAAGTAATCGTACAGTGTGACGATGTTTGGATGACCGCTAGAAATTTGTTTGAGAACCGCAATCTCATCGCGGACCTAAATAGATAAATGATTGGGCGGTTAACACCGATAATCAGTTGAGCGCTCAGGATTGATGAGGTGAAGAACACGACGAGCGTAGTTACTGGCCTCGCAGTGCAAGCCCATCGCAAAGCCTCTAGCGAATGTCCCTCGTATCATCCACGTAAAATCCGTCGCCATTAACGCCCGATCGACGAGGATTTTCTCAAAAGAGCGGCGAGATAAGGCTCACCATATATTCACCACCCTCTATGAGTTTCTTGTTGATAATTTTGCAAGCATAGTATTGTCCAGTCTTGATGTGGATGGCCACTTTCACAATAGCATACGGGCCGCTGCCAAGGGTTTCACCCGTCCGGTACTGGATTTATCAAGGACAGTCAAATGAATGAACGAGCTCCTAGTGACAGTGCACGAAATCGGACACACCTGGCAAGGTACTGTTTCTGGCTGAGACGCCGACATAATGTTCTCAGTATCCCCAGGACAAGCCTTGATTTTGATGTGGGAGTAGGAAAGAAGAAGAACAAAAGGCACCCGAATTACTTGTCTGCTGCCCCACACCCAAACCTGAATCGGGAAAAACCTACATCAAGGTTTCGCTGATTTTGTTTCCCGTGCACAACAACATCGCAACGCCAGTGCTGTGTTCACCTCGCTCCGTGATATCATCCGCGTATTCCAGGCGAACACACGATCGATCATGAAGTTCTCTATTCCCTATGTATACCCTTGCCTCGACAAGCAATCGTATTCGGTATGTCGGTCTGCGCAGCCGCGAAGACACACAATGGGCACAAAAATCTTCTAACAGTGATAGCATGGCTCTTAAATCACGCAACCTTGAACGCAAGGGGTTCATCGACGAATTTAAGATCTCTGAAAAAATGCTTGATCCTCTCGTCGTTGGCGACTTTTGCAAAGTGAGCAAAGACATGGGGGTAAACGTCCTTGCGCTCCTTAGTTCCGCACACCGTCTGGCCTACACGCATTACGGCCGTGCCGACCACGACATCTGCAAGTGTCACCCACGAGTAAGCCAGAAGGGCGCGAAGTCAGATAGTCTTCTAAAAACTTGAGCGAACGTCCGATGAAGCCCTGGTAGTATTTACGCTCCTAGGACTTCGAAAGTCACGGGAATGTACGTGTCAGCGTACCGTAAAAAAATGACGAAAGATAAGCGCACCTCTTCGCCGAAACCTGGAAGATACTTTGAGACCATACCGATGTATATGTTGGTTCCCGGAATTCGGATCTCAGTCTCCGCAAAGTGGATTCCACTGGTCTATCTGTGCGGTTTCTTTCGCGGTCCGACCAAGGAGGCCTGCCTCAGGAACCAGCGAGCTCACTTACCCACGCGGTCGGTATCGATCACCACTACCATGACAAAAGGGTTGCCACTAACCGTAGCGAGCGATGGTCGCGCCTTTCGATTAGCTTGAATCCTTCATTATCTTCGAAGGCAGGGATTTTGGCGAGAGGAAATTTATGGGTGATCTCGGGTAGTTTGTTCGTGACGCCGAGCTCGAACGGCGGTAGATCAATCTCGAGGCCCGAGATAGTCAACTGCGCTCAGGATCTTATACATTTTACCCGAACGAAATGAGGCTGTAACACAATTACATAAATGACGTGGTAGGAAACTTACGGCTCTCGTTTGGGGCTGGCGAGGGTGACCGTAGAGCTTTCCGATGGTTGCCATATTCGACCTAGAAGGACCGTTGCGAGTATGTTTGATGGCACAAGTAGGTCTCTTGAGATGCTTTTACTCGACACACCTCAGGTGGTAGTGTTCTCGGGATTCCTGAGCAGTAAGGGCTGTAACCTACATGCAAAGGCCATCAAGTTCTAAGTTTGTGTTGTCATCTGATTCATCATCGAGTCATCGCCCGCTCGGACACTGTGGCGATCTCCTTGGTTACAGTACAAGCTCCGTCAAAGGGAGTGACGTGACAGTTGGAGTAACCAGCAAAATACACAAGACTGAGAAGTCCGCCAGTTGGCTACCATGACGGTAGATAACCATCAATCTTTTCTGCGTTCCGCTCATTGAAGTTAGCCCGTACATCGCCCTGCAAGGGACGGATCACGAAAGATTTCTACCTTTCCGCATACTGGCACTTCTCTCGACGGAAGATCATACAATCTCCATAATGATGCCCGTTTGCATAGCAATGAAAATACATGAGATCTCCCTTTATCTGCGTTAACTTTTCTGCAGCACAATACCAATCACTCGGCCTTGAAAGCAACCGACTCGTCAACGAATCCAGGCTCTCCAAACACTTGCTTGATCCTCTCGTCATTGGTCACTTTTGCAAAATGAGCATATACGTGGGGATAAACCTGTTCGCGCTCCTTAATGCCACAGATCGTCCGGCCTGCACGCTGCACAGCCGTGGCGAGGACGATATCTGCAAGTGTTAAACTATCGTTCACCAGCAAGCCGGAAGGACGTGAAGCCAAGTACTCTTCTAGGAACTTGAGCGAACGTTCAGCACGTTCCTTGTAGTATTTATGTTGCTAGGATCGGGAAAACCGTAAGGAATTACGAGTCAGCCGACCACGGCATAAGACAGACGAAACGAAGGGTACTTCTTCGTTGAATCCTGGGAGGAACTTCATGACAATACCGATGTATATGTTGCTTGCAGGGAGATGGATCTCTGTCTCCGCAAAGTGGACCCATTGGTCTACCTGTGCGGTTTCCTTTGCGTTGCGACCAAGGAGGCCAGCATCGGGAGCGAGCGAGCTCACTCACCGCCACGATCAGTATCGACGGTTACTTATTTGCAGAAAAATCAGTAACTAACCGTAACGAGCGATGGCCATGCCCTCAATCAGCTTGAATCCTTCGTCATCTTCGAAGGCAGGGATTTTAGCGAGAGGAAATTTCTGGGTGAACTCAGGTGATTTGTGCGTGGCGCTGAACTCAAATGACGGGAGTTCAATCTCGAGGCCTGAGACAGCTGCGGCGCTCAGGATCTATTATGTCGAACGCAAGTGTGATGACCTTGCAAGGGGCCAAACAATAAGACATGAAACATACAGCTTTCGTCTGAGGCTGGTGAGAGCGGCCGTAGAGCTTTCCTATAGGTGCCATATCAAAACTGTAGCAGATGAGTTCGTTGAAGGATGGAGACTTAGTGGAGAACGCTTTATATATACGTCAGTCCAGCAAGATTCGTCCGTGCACTGCCAGGTACCTGAAGACGCAGAGCCTATTCCCAATCCGATGAGGGATTAGTAACGCCGTCGCCACGTGCTTTCATCCTTGTATAGTATTCCACTTCGTCCCTGTACCAGTTGACCCACGTCTACGGTATTCTCGGGTTTACATGCTTGGACGGGTACACGACGAGCGATCGCCTATTTCCAGCCGTCGATGATCAATATTATGCTGTGTAATAATCAAGAACTCGCTCGCTCGCTCGCAGCAGTCTCACTACTGCAAGGGGATCCTAGCCATCCAGCTGACTGAGCAAAAGTGCTTCCGAGTGCCCAGGTGAGTTATGGGCGCTTTCGCCATATTCAGAAGCTGTTTGTCATGCACTCAAGGCTATATGATTCAAGTACTTCACACTCCATCTTGATCAACCGATCAGCTTTCGCGTGCCTGCCCAGCATCAATCAAATTCAGACTTGAAACGGCGAGAAATGGACAGCTCGCTTACCACATAGAGGTTCGGCCTCTTGCACAAGTGATAAATATCTGCTTGGCACTTATGATTCAGTACAATATTAATGTTCTTCGTCTTCCAGGCATTTGTTTGACAGGGGATCATTCTACATTTATAAAGATGTACAACTTTAATCACGAACCTTGCACTGGTCGCACCGTTCTGCAATCACCCGGTCTTGAATAAGAGGCTCGTCGACGAAGTCAGATTCTCTGAACAAATTCTTTTGCTCACCCTTGAAAAGTAAGTGAAGGAGTGGGAATGAACCTGCTTGCGCTCCAAGACGAAAGGAAATGCACCTCTTCGTTGAATCCGGGAAGCATTACCGATGTATACGCCGCTTACAGAGAGTTGGATTTCGGTCTCTGCAAAGTGAACACATTGGTCTATCTGGGCGGTTTCCTACAGGGAGGCCAGTCTCAGGAACGAACGAACTCACCAATTGCCACAATCGGTATCGATCATTCTTCTGCGCGAGAGGATGATGACTGGCGACTATCCGTAGCCAGCGATCGCCATACCCTCGGTTAGCTTGAATCCTTCGTTATCTTCAAACCCGGGGGATTCTGCCCAGAGGGAACTCCTGGGTGAACTCAAGTGACTTGCTCGCAAGGTCGAACTCCAATCGTGGTTGTTTGACCTCGAGACCTTTGATAGTCGCCGCACTTAACATCTATTGCATTCCATCCAAACAAGATAGGTCCGGTGCAACACCAGTCAAATGACGTGGCAGCGAACCTACAACTTTCGTTTGAAACTGGCAAAGGTCGCCGTAAAGCTTTCCGATGGCCGGCACTATAATCAATGATGAAAGACTGCTGCCATATATTCGAACGCCACGGGGAATACTTTCGTAAGTCTCCACACAGCGAGGTTCAGAATCAGCTGCCGTCGTTTCTTCTCGGCGATCGTACAAGTTCAGTGGCTGATTTGGACCCGACATCATCCATGTGACAACACTTACTCAGCACCAAATCCTTATCGAGCTTAATTAATCAGCGGTTCCAGCACACGGGCCTACCTGGACATTCACGGCATTCCACAGGCTGCGCAGGAAGCTGACTGAAACGTGCAGCGCGCCTATTAATTTATCATTGGTGTGGTATGGTTTGACCGGTGTGTTGCATCGTCAGGAATGTAGACGCACTGAGTGAGGACGAAGTACGTGCGATACCGATAGCTTCCACGTCACGGAAAACCTTCACATCTTAAAGTTTGACCAATTTGATCCGTAATAAAGTGGAGAAACACGACTGCCGTCGAAGGCTGGTGTACTGTGTTGATGCCACGATTGCGCATAGTTCCTAAAACTAGTTGTCAACTAGGGCTAGCATGGCGTTTAGGTTCATATCGATGAGCCCACCAGCCTTCGGTTTCTTTCAGGGACGATAAGACAGATCGATAAGTACGTGGGGAACGCTCGAGGAGCAGCACTGTCAGGAAACAATATTAAGTGCTTCACGACAGCAAAAGAACGCCATGAACAGATATACAAAAAGCTTCAATCTCACGCACAGACTAGAATGCGCATGCCAACCAATTCATATTTTTCGTGGGGTGGAGTCCGGTTGGGAAGCACAATCGTGCAGCGTGGTACGAGTCAAAAGCTAAATCAGAGTTAGTCCGCCATGCAAGAGAGCCGGCACCAAATACCCAATGATAGTCTTGCAAAGTGTCGGACAAGTAATATTGCGTTCACAATTTCACTGCCCACGAACAGTGATCCTGAGTGGGATCGGCGAAGACCACGGATTGTATATAACCTGAGGAAATCAGTAACCCCTTGTCAATCAGTCGGATACTTGACCTTCCGTGCAGAGGGTCAGAACACACGCCATGGCCGGAACCGCCACTATCGTCTCGTTTTGAACGTTCCCGGGTAGCTTGGGCAATTGGTTTGTAATTACTGTGTGTAGCTGGCGATGTCAGTCTGAACTCTGCGTGTAGTGTGCAGAGACTCAATCGGACTAACGCACTAATGGTTTTCTGGGGCAGTGCCAACTAGCCTTATTAGTAGAAAGTTCCCACCTACTTGCTTGGTGTGGAAACCTTGCAGTTGTTGGCAATGGCCTTTGGCATGCACCAGCACAGCTCACCCGATCATTCTACATATCTTTAAAGGCACTGTGGGTGTATTTATCCCTGTCGCTTCTCCGTACCAGCCGAAAAACACAACGCCCAGGTCGCAAATTTCTCGCAAATATTTCAGTCAATGCCGGTGCTCAGTGAGTCGGAACCACATTGCAAGATGAGTAAGTATTGTCTTGTACTTAGGGAGTGGAACAAGTGGGAGCGGCGAAGAGGTCTGTGATCAACTGTAAAGCGCTGAGGAAGTTTGCGATCTACGTGTCAGACCTCCACGGAACGGAGCCGTCTTCATTCGATCACACAATCTCCATCATCATATCTGTCTGCATAGCAGTAAAAATACACGAAATTTCTCTTCGCTTGCGCTATGTAATAGCTTTCCAAAGCACAGGACCAATCACTCGGCCTTGAAAGCAAGGGGCTCGTCGACAAATCCAGGCTCTCCAAACACTTGCTTGATCCTCTCGTCATTGGTCACTTTTGCAAAGTGAGCATATACGTGGGGATAAACCTGTTCGCGCTCCTTAACGCCACAGACCGTCTGGCCTGCACGTTGTACGGCCATAGCAAGGACGATGTCTGCAAGTGTTAAACTATCGTTCACCAGCAAGCCGGAAGGACGTGAAGCCAAGTAGTCTTCTAGGAACTTGAGCGAACGTTCAGCGCGTTCCTTGTAGTGTTTATGTTGCTAAGATCGGGAAAATCGTAATGAACTACGAGTCAGCGGAGCGCGGCACAAGACAGACGAAACGAAGCGTACTTCTTCGCTGAAAGCTGGAAGGTGTTTCGCAATCATCCCAAGGTATATGTTGCTTGAAGGAAGATGGATCTCCGTCTCCGCAAAGTGGACCCACTGGTCTACCCGCGCGGTTTCCTTTATATTACGACCGAGGATGCCAGCATCGGGAACGAGGGAACTCACTAACCACCACGATCAGTACTGATCGTTGCTTATCTGCAGAACGCTCAGCGACTAACCGTAACGGGCGATGGCCGTGCCCTCAATCAGCTTGAATCCTTCGCTATCTTCGAAGGCAGGGATTTTGGCGAGAGGAAACTTCTGCGTGAACTCGGGTGATTTGTTCGTAACGCCGAACTCGAATGGCAGGAGATCAATCTCGAGGCCTGATATAGCTGCAGCACTCAGGATCTGCAAGTGTGATGAGCTTGGGAGGAATCAAACAACATGACACACAACATACAGCTTTCGTCTGAGGCTGGCGAGGGTGACCGTAGAGCTTTCCAATAGGTGCCATATCAAAAACTGTAGCGGATGAGTTGGTTGAGGAACGGGCATCTCGTGGAGTACACTTTATATACAACGTCAGTCCAGCCTCAAGATTGGTAATACGTCGTGAAGCGAAAGATCTACTAAGCCTATTCCCATTTAGATGAAAGATGGTTAGTAATGCCATCAGTCATCCCGCTAAGCCAAAATCAACGCCGCAAAGTGTTTTCCTTCAGAAGGGCCAACCCCTACTCTCTACGCATGAGGGAAGCAGAACGAATGGTCGTGGTATTCTCAGCCGCAGACGCAGACGACCAACCCTACGCTATGTAATAATCAATAGCCTGCACGGCCCTATCAGTAGTGTACGTGTACTTGTTCACTGAATACACAGCAGTTTGACTACCGGATGGAGATCCCTGCTACGGACATTCTCGGGACTTCGTGAGTTAGTGACCGACCCTCTGTCTTGATCAGCTATCATGCGCCTGTCCAACATCAAATACAGCGCTACGAAAGGTAAAAGGTAAGTGCAGTTGTCATGAATGCAGAATCACCGATCTCCGACTCACGGGCAGACTTGAGAGGGTGCCGAATGGACTGCTACAAAGTTCTTCGTTTGCTACGTACTTGTTTGACAGGAAATCAGGCTTTGCAGGTGTAAAGGTCCACCAGGTCTATAAGATGTGGTTAGTTTTCCACTGGTGGTGCTGTTCTCGTTAACGAAGTCAGGCTCTCCAAACATGTGCTCGATCCTCTCATCACTGCTCGCTTTCGCATAGTAAGCAAAAGTGCGGGTATAAATCTGTTCACATTCTTTAATGCCACATACTACCTGGCCTGGCCTACGCGCCGCAAGGACAGTATAAGAACAATATCTGCAAGTGTCAAAGTGTCTTTTACAAGAAAGGCCGAAGGACGTGAAGCCAGATGGTCTTCTGGAAACTTGAGTGACAATTTATGTTGCTTTGGTTGAGAAAGCCATGAGGATCTACGGGTAAGCAGGCCGGGGCTACGACAGACGAAAGGAAACATTGAATCCCGGGAAGTATTTAATAACAATACCGATGTATATGTTGCCTGCGAGTATTTGGATCCCGGTCTCCACAAAATGGCCCATTGGTCTATCTGAGCGATTTGCTTCGTGTTGCGACCTAGAAGGCCAGCTTTAGGAACGAGCTAGTTCACTGATTGCTACAATTGGTATCGATCATTCTTCCACCTGAAAGGGTCCATAGCGAGTGATTTCAATGCCCTCGTTTAGCTTGAATCCTTCGTTACCTCCAAAACCGGGGATTCTTCCGAAAGTTACGGCTCACTTAGGGTGACTAGTTTGTGATACCGAACTCGAATGGTGGTTGTTCGATCTTGCGACCTATGATAATTGTTGCATTCAGGATTTATTGCATTCGCAAAAAAGATGAGCCCAATGCAAAACCACTGATATAACGTAGTATGAAACCTACGAATCATTAATTTTATCGAGTTCTGCATGGAGAAACAGGTTGCCATACTCCGTACTGAAGGACTTTTGCAGGTAGATTCAAGGCCCAACAAAGAACATTTTCATAGATTTCGGCGCAACAAGGTAATACTTTCGTCTTCTTCCCGAAGACCATACGAGTTCAGTGGTTGATTTGGATCTAACGTCATCCATGTGGTAACACTTGCTCAGCACCGAATCCTTATCGAACCTAATTAATCAGCGCTCCAGCACAAGAGCCTACCTGGACATTTATGTCACTCCACAGGCTACGTAGGAATTTCGGTGCAACATGTAGTGCGCCCATTAATTTACCACTGGTGCGGTATGATATAATCAGGGTATTGCGTCGTCTGGAATTCCGAAATCTCTGTCGCGTTGGGGGAGGACAAAGTAATACGATACAGATGACTTCCGTGTCATGGACGATCCTCCACTTTAAAATTCGATCCATACAGAGTGAAGAAATGCAATTGTCGTTGAAGGCCGGTGTAATGTGCTGATGGCGTGACTGCCCATAGTTCACAAGGTTAGTCGTCAAGTTGGACCAACACAGTGTTTAGGTCCATATCGAGGAGCCTGGAAATTTTCGATTTCTTTCGAGGGGTGATACGGCAGAGCAATAAGTACACGGGGAATGCTCAAGGAGCAGCGCTGTCGAGAAACGATATTAAGTGCTTCTCCACAGCAACAGAATGCCATACTGTGACAAAAATATCCAATCACATAGAGTGCACATGCCAACCAACTCGTGGGTGGGATCCGGTTGGGAGGTACAATCGTGCAGTGCCACTATGTTCACGAATTCGCTGATCACAAACAGCGATCCTGAGTGAGATCGAAAAGACAACGGACTGGGTATAACCCAAAGAAATTAGTAGCCCCTCGTCAATCTGTCGGATATCTGACTTTCCAGGCAGGGGAACTCGTGGCTTTGAAATAAGTAACAAATTATGCTGGTCAGGACACTCACCGTGACCGTCCCAGGACCATCACTATCGTCTCGTTCAACGTTCTCGGGTACCTTGGGCCGTGGGATCTGTAGTTACTGCGTATAGCTTGGGATCTCAGTCTGGACTCTGCCACGTACAATACGAGGCTGGAGCTTGGAGTTCAAGGCGAATGCTTTGCTGAGGCGGTGCCATTCAGAAAGTTCCCACCCGCACTGGTTTGCTCTCCCAGCACGCCTCGTCCATCATTCTACATTCCTCATTCGCCGAACGATCGAACGTGCATGGAACATGGTGTGCAGGCTGCTTGGAGCATGTACGTCGCTTGAGTGAGCAGATCGCGGCGGTCTCTCGCACTCTCGGTGTATCAGTGTCCCTTCTACTAGGTGCAAAATACTCACATTTCTTGCCCTAGAATTTCAAAGTCGTTAAAGATGTCTTGCGTACACACTAACAACCGGAAAAATTCAATTTAAGTGGGTGTTGTATCAGGTCAAAAATACTCCAGTCGCCGGTACCGGTACGTGAGTCGGAACAAGGTGGCAAGATGAGTACGTATTGCCCTGTACCTACGACTTACCAGCAAGCGAAGCAAGTGGGTGTGGCGAAGAAGAACGTGATCGACCGTAAAGCGCTGAGAAATGGTTTGCGATCTATGTGCGACAGACCCCCTCCATGGAACGGAGTCGTCTTCATTGCCAACGTATCGTGTGCAGCGTACCTGTCTGCGTAGGAATGAAGATACACGAGGTCAGAAGGGTCATCGACAAGTCACTGGAAGAAACCACCCTCGAATCTCTCAGCCCTTAAAATAACAGGACTGTCGACGAATCTCGGATCTCCCAGCAAACGCTTTAGCTCCTCGCCATCGTCACTCTTTCAAAACGAACAAACACGTACATTGCCTCGGCAGTGATCACGAAAGATTTCTACCTTTCGCATGCCAGTATGTACTTGTCTCGACAGAATATCATACAGTCTCCATAATGATGTCCGTCTACATAGCAGTAAGAATGCACGAAATTTCTCTCCTTCTGGAATCACTGGGCCTTAAAGGCAAGGGGCCCGTCGATGAATCCAGGCTCTCCAAACACATGCTTGATCCTCTCGTCATTGGTCACTTTGGCGAAGTGAGCGAATACGTGGGGATAAACTTGTTCGCGCTCCTTAATTCCGCACACCGTCTGGCCTGCGCGCTGCACGACGGCGGCGAGAATGAGATCCGCAAGCGTTAAACTGTCGGTCACAAGCAAGCCGGAAGGACGTGAAGCCAAGTAGTCTTCTAGGAACTTGAGCGAACGTTCAGCGCGTTCTTTGTAATGTTTATGTTGCTAAAATCGGGAGAGTCGTAAGGAACCACAAGTTAGCGGACCATGGCACAAGAAAGACGAAACAAAGCGTACCTCTTCGTTGAATCCTGGCAGGTACTTTGCGACAACACCAGCGTATATGTTGCTTACAGGAAGGTAGATCTCCGTCTCCGCAAAGTGAACCCATTGGTCTACCTGTGCGGTTTCCTTTGCATCGCGACCGAGGAGGCCAGCGTCGGGAACGAGGGAGCTCACTAATGAACCATCACGATCACTATCTACCATCACTCGTCCGCAAAATGATCAGTGACTAACCGTAACGAGCGATGGCCGTGCCCTCAATCAGCTTGAATCCCTCGTTATCCTCGAAGGCAGGGATTTTGGCGAGAGGGAATTTCTGAGTGAACTCTGGCAATTTGTTCGTAACACCGAACTCGAATGATGGGAGATCAATCTCGAGCCCTGAGATAGCTGCAGCGCCCAGGATCTATTACATCGAGCACAAGGGTGAGGAGCGTGCAAGGGGTCAAACGACATGACACGAAACGTACAGCTTTCGTCTGAGGCTGGCGAGGGTGGCCGTAGAGCTTTCCGATGGGTGCCATGACAAAACTGTAGCGAATGGATTCGTTGAAGGGCACTTCGTGGAGGACACTTTATATACATGTCAGTTCGGCAGGATTGGTAATAGCTGACCTGGCGCTTGGTTCCTGTGCAGTGAGTACGTCACGACGCAAGTGAAGCTCTGCTAACCTCATCGGAGCCTATTCCTATTCTGATAACGATGATTAGCAATTCCATCAGCCATCGCCACGTCGTGCAGCAACTTCCGGTGCCCGCTGAGCTAAAACCAACGCGCGGCGCTGTGCCGCGAAGTATTTTCCTGTAGGAAGGTCAACCTGTATGTACGTCCACAAAGTGGTCGCGGTATGTTGATCAATCCTATGCTGCGTAACAACATTACTAGTAGTGTACTTGCTCGCCGAGCACACAGTGGTCTTACTTCCGGAAGGTGTCCCAGCGCACCATCAAGCTGACTGAGCACAAGTGCTCCCGAGTGCTTAGGTAATTTACATGTTTCCGACAATAACATCCGGAGGCAGACCCCGGAGATATCCTCAATTTTCAAGGCTACGTACGCCCTTGGCGACTCCATGACTCAGTATTTGACCCTCCGTCTTGATAAGCTTTCACACGTCCGCTCATTATCAATTACAGCACTCCCAAAAGGGAGTATCATTGTCGTGAATTCAGGCTCTCCGAATGTCACTGATTTGTGCCCCCCCCCGCACATCACATAGTGCGGAATAGACTGCTACAGAGTCCTTCCTTTTCCACGTATTTGGTTGACAGGAAACCGTGCTTTGCACGTGTAAAGATCCACGAGCTCTATAAGATGTGGCTAATCTTCCGTTGGCGGTGCCATTCTGCAATCACTTGGCCCTTGTTGTAAGAGGCTCGTGGACGAAGTCAGACTCTCCGAACAAATGCTTAACACTCTCGCCATTGCTACCTTTTGCAAAGTAAGCGAAGGTGTAAGCATACATCCGTTCACGCTCCTTAATGCCGCATAGCGTTTGGCCTGCGGGCTGCAAGGACAGCACGAGAACGGTATCTGCAAGTGTTAAGGTGTAGTTTCAAGAAATGCGGAAAGACCTGAAAGCAGTTTTCAAGAAACTTATGGGAAAATTTGGCACTCTCCTGGCAATATTTACGTTGCTATGACTGGGACAGTCATGGGGATCTAGCAGTCAGGAGGCCAGGGCAATCTCAGACAAAAGGTTGATTAGCCGTAGTGAGCGATCACCATCCTTGGTTAGCTCGAAGCCTTTGTTATCTTCAAAGCCGTGGATCCTGCCCAGAGAAAACTTCTGGGTGAGTTCAGATGACTTGTTTGTGACACCGAATTCGATTGGTCGTTGTTCGAACTCGAGACCTGAGATGGTCACCGCATTCAGAATTTATTCCATCGAAATAGATCCAGTGCGACACTACTTTAATAACGCACCTAGTTGGAAACCTAATATAACTTTCGCTTGAAACTGGCGAACGTCGCCGTAAAGCCATCTTTGATACTGAATGATAACTGCAAGTATATTTCACATATTCAAACCTTATGGTACTTCTATAAGTCTCCGTGCAACAAAGTTCGGAGATTGTTTTAGCCCAGGTATTCTCGTGCTGTTCCCGGTGATCACACAAGTTCAATGGCTGACTCGGACCGAACATCATCCATGTGACAACACTTACTCAGAACCAAACCATTATTGAGCCTAATTAATTAACGCTCCAGCACAACGGCCTATGTGCACATTTATAGCACTCCACAGGTGGCGCAGCAAGTTAGATGCAACACGCAGCACATACGTTAATTCATCGTTGTCGGGATATGGTCTGATGACCGTATTGCATCGCCAGGAGTTGCGAAACCTTCCTCGCGCTGAGTGAGCACGATGTGCATAGTTATAGATTCTTCTCTGTCACGGACACCTCCCGCTCTAAAGTTCGATCCGTGAAAGAGTGAAGAAAGGAAGTTGTCGTCGAAGACTGCTGTACTGTGTCGATACCGTGATTTGTGCATAGCGAGTCGCCAAGTTGGACTAGCGCAGTGTTTAGCCTGCCAACCAGGGACTTCTTTCAGGGGACGATACCGCAAAACGATAGTACGTAAGGAGGAGCAATGCTGTAAAGGGACAATACTAAGTGCTTCACCACAGCAAGAGCATACCATGAGCAGCAATACGGGGATCAACAAAGACGAGGAACTGTACGTACCCCCATCGAAACCAACTGCCCCTCCCCCTCGTCAATCAGCCGTGCACACCTCCACCCTCTGGAAACTCACAGGTATCAGCCTGTCTGTCGTGGGGTGGTTCGCAGAGCATGGCAACTATGGTGCGAAAGCGAGCAGAGTAGCTCGAACATAAGCCATAGGTAATCCTGTGGCTAGTTGACGCACGTGACTTGGAAAAATACATGTCAGTTGGACACCACTCCCGACGCGTGCGTCTCATTCCCAGGTAGCCTGGGCCATAGGGATCTCAACCCTCAGCCTAGACTTCGCGCGTGTGCTGAAGTTGAGGACAAATGCTCTGCCGTGGCAGTGCCTATCGTGGCAGCGCAAAAGAAAACCTCACCTCAAGAAACCTGCTGAGAGGTCACAGATTTCGCCAGCGTGCACCCAATGGAGATGTTGCACCGGTTAGCCGTCCATCCCTGACCCATCAATCAATTTACCAATCCGCCGAATGGTCCAAAGTGCATGGAACACGGTGAGCAGGTTGCTGGGGCATGTATGTGTCACGAGTGGGCAGATGGCAGGAATTACATGCCGGCCTTTCGCACTGTAGGTGTATTACCGTCGTTTCTACTGTAAATACTCTCATTTCTTCCTCGAGTAACGTCAAGTATCGTGCTCCTGGATTGGAAAGCGGCCCGAGAGAATCGCAGCGCTTAGAACCTATGGCATCCCATTCGGAAGGGATGATCGTATACATACGAGGCCCGGTGCTCAACAACGGTCGTTTCCCACCCAATCATGCATAGTGGCGTTGCCCAACGCGGTATGCGCTGGTTAGTCAGCGCGATGCATGACCAGCACCCGCATTGCGCAAGGCTGCATTGGCAGCTCGCTGTCGCAACAAAGACACCGGTGTGCTCTGCATCGTGCGTCGTGCTTTGCCGAAAAAGACACGGAAGCCGGCCCTGGGACGATCGGAATGCAGCTCACCCGCGTTCGGTCATTCAAGGCGCCCCACTAAACTACGTAGATACCCATACGTGAAATGCTTACTGCGTAACGACAGGATTACGACAAGCAAAATGATGCCCATCGTTGGATATGTATCCCATAACCGGCGCTCCAGCATTCGTATCTGCTGGTGCATGGAACATCGGCAATGTGCAATAGGAGGGTTGAGGCAGATTCCCAACATCGCCGGCGTGTTCCGAGCCTATTTCTTGGTCATGAAAGGGATCCTAAGACCCATACCGCTTTACTCACCACTGCACATAGCATCGCTAGAGAAATTAGCATTCGATGCTACTCGGCTACCTGAGCAACCTACCATTTTGCAAATACCGCTTGCTCTTCTTTCGAGTACGGATCCTTGAAACCTTGAAAGCATTGCATCAACGGTTGTAGCGTATTTCCGGTGCATGTATTTACCACTTCTTTTCCAGAAAAAGTTGTGGGTAATGTAGTCCTTTGGCCGGTCAGGGTTAGGTAGCAGGCGCTTCATGATGTGCTGAATCTGGTCATTGCCAACGCAGTCAGCCTGCTCGTAAGAACGACAGTAGTTAATGTGCACGTGACGACCCATTGCCTGGCACACAAGATTGCACATCATTGGAGCCCCCTCATCGTTGGTGGAGGACCTTCTTCCTTCAATTTCGAGCACTGCTGCATCATCAGGTCCATCTACAGTCCATCGTGTGCGGGAAATAGAACCGTGGCGTGTTTCATGCTCTTGTTGAGGGTGACCTAAACACCGCCAATCAGGACGTAGCAAGGAATGCAGATGTAAGTTAACCATACCAAGCGGTAATGTGCAGAAATACCCGCAATTTTCGCACCTGCCAAATTGAACCGGGTTGAATGACTGGAGACAGGAGCCGTAGGTCGAGCGTCACAACTTACCTGGCTTCGCAGAAGTGAATAACTTGCTTACCGAGACTGTGATTATGAGAACCCTCGTGTCTCGCTGTGCCGGGTGGAACTAGTTTGACACATTTCAGTCGCTTTGCCACTGCACCACGTGAGCTGAGTGTATGTCGGTACCACTACGCAACTGACCTTGCGGGTACTGGCATAGGTAGATTATGGGCGTGTTAGCAAAAGTGTCAGCTCCACGTGTTGAGTTGCCTACCTTCTTATATTGGAAATTTTCGTGCCTTCCCGTGAAAGTTGCTTCGATCGAATGCGGTGCCGTTTCGATTTCACATATGCCCTGCGCAGAACACATAGCCGTGCAGAGATGCTCTCGTCTGTTCGACGATGGGGTTGCGTCAGCCCTGTGCCAATCGTTAAAAGATGCAACTGTCAACCCACCCGCAAAGGTGAACCACCCCATCTTCTAAACCATGCATATGATCTTGATCAGAACATCGCCGCTTGCAGAGCTGACAGGTGACTGGGCAGAAACGATCTTCACATTCATGACAAAAATGATCGATATCACTGATGGTCTCTCAGCTTTCGGAATCCAGGGATCCTGGATGGGCTCACCTTGGGATTCTGCAGAAACCGGGGCACGAATAATCCGATCCGTCAGCAAGTTTAAGACCCGATAAACCACATGGCTGTTGCAAGAGAAATTAGTACATGTTCATACCACCAAAGCAAGGGACTCGCCTTTCCGCAAGCATGCCCTGTGGCGGCGCAGAGATGTTCATCACCGTGATCAATAACCTACGATATCTGAGCTGCGAGCTACAGTAACATGACCAGAACACCCCACTTTAATACATTCGTGAAGGCATCCGGACCTGCCTTCAAGCTTGCAAGGTTTGCCACACATGTGAGTAGCGACGACACATCTGTGTACGTACTGAATATCGTAACTGTGACAATTAGCTAAAAGGCAATGCTTACATATGATTTCCTGCATGTCCAGCGACCATGCCACACTCCCGGAGTTCGCCACTAGTTTCTCGACAAAAATCACACTGACAAATGCAGAGGTGGTTGGTTTGACAAGAATGAGGGCCGTTGTGGAGGCGACTCTGAATGCACGACAATTGACAGTTCGCGCATCGCAACTTCATCAGTAAATTCAGCCAAATTACAGCATGCACATTAGACAGTTTTTGAATGCTCGGCAAACACTGGCGAACATTAAGCGCTTGAAAACCCAGGTTTTTGAACGCTTAGCTTTACTGATGTTGCAAAGCTGTACATTGCTCTTCAGATCGATAGTGGCACCGTCAAAGTTCCGTCGAAGTTCCTCGATGCTTGAGTGGCCCGTCTGGAAACGCGCCAAATTCTGCGAAAGCCATTCTTGCACATGATCGATTCGTATCTTAACGATTCCCTCGAGGTATTGGGAGAGGGTCTCCACCCACTCTGAATCAGGTTTGTGTTGACGGTCGAAATAACGTTCCCAGGAATTCTGAAGACTTGACAGTGCTTTTTCACGAATCTCTGACTTCGGAGCCATTCCAACTGTAAGGAGTAGGTGTGATTCAGTGTCAGGCATCTCCACAGGCATGTTAGTGTCAAGGTTCTAAGGACAGTTAGATCTATCGAGGCAGAGGCAGATGGACGCTACCTTCAGTGGCTCTCGGTCAGGATGGACCTCCTGGAAGCCAAAAGACAACGCGTTTGGAAGCAACGACGACAAGAGTTGAGCCCGACGAGATGCCATCGCCTCTAAAAGAAAGTGAGTGGTGCTAAGCCACTGGGACAAACAACAACGCACGCGATATCGGCCCCCAATCATTGGCCTGATGCAGAATTGAATAGAAGCAGTCATGCTGCAAATAGTAATACGAACCTTGAGCTTCGCCATCAACGTTTTCACCTTGTGGAGGAATTCACCAGCGGCATGGTGCGTTACGACTTGCTGATCCAAGCGCCGCTTTAATGTTGGAAATAGTTCGTAGAATTCCTCAGATTCGATGACAGGCCTGTAAGGAATTAGACTGCACCCCTTACAAGTCCACTCGCAATGCGCACCAAGGAATGATCGCCAGTTTTCCTGCATGAAGTCGAGTGATGAAGTTCGTCTCTTGCTCGTCTTGCACAATTCGTTCGAACTTCAGAGTGAATCTTGTGGCCTGTCAGTTGAGGGAATCACCATAAACAACATGAACCAACTCTCTAGCTATTTCCGACCTATCCGCCTCAGCAACATCCTAAAACTGATCATCAGATATCAAAGTCTAAGTGTCGCAAGCGCACCATACCTTGATAATAATGACCAGAGTCGATTGGAATAGTGACGGATTTACTGCAGGGTCTAGAACAGTAGCACTAGACTGGAAGGACTGGAATAAGCCTGCGATATCACGGCTGAGAGCGAAGTTATTGCGGAAAAGGACCTAGAGGCATATCATTCTCGACTATTTGCTCTTTGCTGTAGGGATAAGCTTACCAGATTCGAGATTGCAGTGTTAAAAAGAACGAGTAGTGCGTCTTCTTGAGCCGATCGTTCGATGCTGTGAACACCTGAAAAAAAGGGTGGGTACTAAGAAAAATACAACGAATGAACGTCGGTTGACAAACCATCGAAATTTAGAGCTACAATGAGCTCCTTCTCTGTTGGCGTGACAGACATCCAGACACCTTCAGTTCTACGCATCGCTGATCCCACAAAAGACGTGTCCACGAAATGATTGAGAGCATAGCTCTTCCCAACAGATTGTTCTCCCATGGATGACACCACTCGAACGGGCTGTCGGGTCGTAAGCAAGACCCGGGAACATCGAATAAGGATTACCTTGGTGGCCATGTAGGACTGAAAGAGCGACTCGTACCACCCGAAGGAGATACTTTCTACAATGCGGTTCACCTCGGCACCTGAAAGTGATCTTTCTAACTCAGTGGAATATACGCCATCTTTGAGCGGGATAAAACAATTTTCTTGTGTCAATGCGATGTGAATGGGGATCAAACACAAGCAATTGCCGATCCATTCGCCTGCCCTGTGTTGCGAAACGTTCCACGGTGCGGTCTTGCATAGCTCCTGTACAAAGACAGGAAACGCGACAGCAGACACCTTGATAGATTTGAGGACATCACCAGTAGGCTTCTTACTTGTGCGCCTGAAAGTGTAGATCATATTGGAGAAATGCTGCGCAAACATGTGCAAGTCACGGTCGGTAACGAAGACCAGACTTCTCTGGCTCCGAGGACTGGCAGAGGAAATAGTCTCCTGTTGCACCGCAGCGAGGACTGGGAAATGAATCCAGACTTCCGAGTGACAGTCTACCAGGCAATTGTGCGCTGTCGTATTTTCCGCCCGCTTAGACCCGTTGCGACCAATCTTCTCTCGGAACATGAACTCGGTAAACCGACGGGTGATGTCCAACGCATAAGATTGACATCGCCGAGCAGAAAAGTCAAGCCACAAAAGGTGAACGGTCGACTTGGAGACTAGTGATGTGACCACGAACGGCTCGCCGACTGGAAGGCTGGGCACGTTAAGCTCGATGCCTTCTGTCGATCCAAAGGAATCCCAGTGATACGCAGTCAACGTGTGGCCAGTTCCAAGCTCATGAGAAACCAGTACACACGACCCGTCTGGTGCCGAATGTATGCTCGACGGGACGTGATGGAGGTTCAATGTCGCGGGTCTGTCAGATTAATGAGCGCCGGTTCGCAGAGTACCATATTCAACTGACCGAAACTGCATCGTAACTAGGGAGTATACCCTAGCCTGGGCTTGAGAATCTACGAGCAGGAGCTCTTCACTGCCACTGACAAAGCACGCATGACGGATGGATATCCCTTCATTGTACCATGCGTTCAAGTTAATAGAACTTCCTAACGCTTGGAAACCTCGCGTGTCGTCGTACACGAAGATGTGCAGTAATAGCTACAGGTCAACGATCGCGTGTAAGACATGTTGTCGAACCCGAAATCCACAGCCTCCGCACCTTGTCGGCACAGACGATGCTCAACATCCGCTTGGACTCATCGAACGCAAGAAGAAAATCTTGTCCGATCTTCTCGCAGTTCAAAATTTTTCCGCGCCCTCGTGTAATCGCTGCATCGACAGCGGTTAGGCGATCGAGATAAACCGTCAAATTTCCAATATGGTCTGTGACAATCAGCAGTAGCTTCTCTCCCTCGAGTAACTGCGCACGGCTTGCAATGGGTAAATATTACAGCACTTTGAAAGAACGGAATGACGCGTACGAAACGGTATAACCCTGGGCTAACCTAAATTCATACTTGAAGCCAAAGTGAGGAGAAGGAATGATGGATGCGTCCAGCTGTAAGCCGTGTTTGTCTTGTTCCGTAAGGCTCATAATATGAACTGTAAAACATGTCATGGGTTCCTTTCGGGTCTCTCAAACACCCGTGACTTTGTATTGTGACGGGTAATACGATTTACTCTCGACCGATTCAATGGAGAGGGTATGTCTGATGAACGGCCATCCAAGCAGACACTGGAAAGCCTCAGAACTTACTGCTGGTGGGTTTGGCGCGTCACATGTTGACATGACGGATCAACTGTAATCTAAGTTTGCGCTTCTCTTGTTCCTCTCGGCTTTTAGCAGCGGCTTTGATTCTTTGCATCATTATCTCCTCCTGAGTGTGCCTGACAAATGTAACGAGTTTCTTCACAACACGGGAAATCGTGGTGGCTAAGGACAGCTGCAACTTCATGTTTGCTTCTTGGACCAGGCGTATCAATTCCGGATCCTCCTGGATCACTTCTGCATTGACAATTTCCTTTAAGAAGCGACTATCCGAGATGTCGTTCGCTTTGCTAAGAGCTTCCCTAAGAACACGATCCATAAAGGCAATTTTATCTTCCCTTGGATTAGAGAAGACTGAGGCAGCGTAGCTAACGGCACGTTCTACGAGGGGAACCTTGTCTTCTCTTAGATTGGAGATGACTGACGCAGAACGGTTATCAGAGGGCTGGTTGGTACGGGCTGCTGTAAATCTATCTTTCGTACCAGCTTTCCCAATCACATCGTGCTGACTTTTACTTGCATTGATTCCGGGATAAGTCGAAACGATCTCCCGAAAGGGCACTGCGAGATATGGTGTAAGAATACTTTTCGTGTTTGCGGGTAGTGAACCTCACCTGACGTGGTTGTTTGACGCACTCTGGAATAGGGGAATGATTCTCGTTCGAGAAAACTACATTAAACCAGTGATGAGTGAATGAAATCAGCCGAGATTCAAATGACATACGGATACAAGTTCAAAACTATATCCACGACAGCCTCGTGGGTTGCTGAAGTTAGGCTTTCTTCTTCTTTGTCAAGAGTGGCCCTCATTTTTGCCAATTCTCCCGTTCTCATTCTCTTGCATTCGGCGTCAATGGTGCTGAACCCATGTGCCCAATTGGCACACTCGGGAGGAAAACGCTTCTTCAAGCCACTGCGGATTAGTATACCCAGTGCTTTATCATCCAAGGATTCATCGAGGCAAAGACGATCAAACATGCTAAAAGTCGATTGATGCCGTCAAGGCCATTTTGTTGCAGTCGAACAGACACTTACAGGTAACCTTCTAGTTGCAGAGTTGTAAAGGACCGCGCCATGAAAGCATCACATACGTGCTCAGCAGGCTGGTGGTGTATAGTCATAAAACCTTGAGCAGTCTCCCCAAAGAGCAAAAATGGTTTCGTTGGGCCTTGCTCCACGGATCCCTCTAATGCTGAGTCTGCATACGTGATGTGCCCAGATGCAACCTTCGCGACAGGCCTGATGAGTCTCGGAATGAGGAGTTGCACAGCAACGAATACCTTAAAGCCTTCTCGTACTTGCACAGATTCTTCCTCAGTCTTTCTGTCCACAACACAGTTAATGATTCTATCTCGCGCATTATCTTCATCCCCGTCACTCCAGACAATAGTCCGCGCATGCGCGGAAGAAATCAACGCAATGACCTGGTCACACATCTTTGTAAGGTATCTGTGAATCATAAGCATGCAAACAAAGAAAATTTTATGCAATGTGAACGAACCTCATGAAGATCACACGATTTTGGCGGACTTGGGAGGGTGCGCAGTCATCCCACGTGTTTTCCTGAGGCCAATATACGACGAAGATTTGTTCCGTTTGACCATACTGTTCCGTTGGTCGAAGAAAGTAGAGACCTGATCGAAGAGTGGGCTGCGTTGGACCAGCAGTGCTCGGGTCTGCAAGTAGTTGTGCAGCCCTAATGAAGGCAGAAGCGTCAAGAACGGTCGATAGTCGGCATCGGGCAAGCAACATACAAGGAGGCGTCAACGACCCGAAGCTCTGAAAGGAATCGAACAATCTCTTCTTTGCTTCCATACACACCCACGGGTTTCACGATATACTGATCCAACGCTTTGAAATCAACCTTCGTTATGGATACATACGCGCCAGGACAAACGATATCGATGAAAGCCTTCAGCGAATTTTGAGAGATAACAACCTTGTCGACTGAGGAAAGTATATATAAGTGTTGGAGCGGGTTATCAGAAGTAAAATCATTACCCGGGCCGCCGCTGCCCTGCTCGCTGACAAGATCAAAGATTCTGTACAATCCTTTGACAGAGAAAACCAGATCAAGATGGTTGTCCATAGAGGAAGTATGAGGAGAATGGTTAGAGCTGCCAGAATTCCCAGAAGCTATATTGTCGTAGATGGAAGAAACAGTGAGCGACGACGAGGTCGCTTGTGAATATGCCGTTCACATACCATCCCCCTCTTGCTTTCCATGCATTTCTTCGCCGTCACCGTCATGAAAGGCGGCGTCCTTGAATGAACCATTCATGGCACCATGCGAAGAGTGGGGTTGAAGCCTTGACATCCCTCCCTCTGCCCTATTTAAATGCTCCAGAAGATAAGGATCATCACAAGGTCAGACACGAGGCACGTAATCAGAATACACGCTGTAGAGAAGCTTAACTCCATACAGTGCCGCAGATCCTTCACATGTGAGCATGAAAAAGGCGTGAATTGGGGTTTAGGGCACTGAGAAACCAACGTAGACATCTTGACTGAATCGGACCAGATGAATGCTACCTTAGATAAAAGATCAGAGAAACTAAAATACCGGAGCATTGCTGCCCTGTCATCATACTTTTTACCTGCGATAGTGATAGCAATGTGCTTTGTCAACTAAGCCACGGTCAAGTCCAAAATGTAGCAGTCTGATTCACGCACGCAGTGAAAGTAGGGAAAGGGCGCCGATACACAGTAATTCTGCAAAAGTGACATACTTCGATTCTCACGCCCGCTTCTCTGTGAAGTGACAGCGTGAATTCAGTAGCGTTTCTGCGGCTTCGGCTGTGTCTGTGTAACTTATAAGGTGAGTGGTTGATGGGATAAGGAGATCTGACACCATGGCATGATACTAATGAGGTGGCTTCAAGTGCACAGCTGGGTTAGTTTCATCGTGCACGCCAGTGAGTCACCTCGGTTTTCCCATCCAGCGCGGGTCTTCTCCCATCCGATGTTCGATAGTGAAGTTCTAGATACCATTGTTGTCCCCAGACTCAATTGTTGTAATTCAACACTATGTCGGGCTGTGCAAAACACCAGATGAGGCAGCCTGTCTAAGAAGTACACAGGAAGTAGCCGGGACACCGAACCGTTGGCGATGGGTTCTTATTATTGTTGAACTGCTTAGCTGTGGGATACAGGCATCATGTCAAAGAGACCCTTGGCTCAAACCTGAAACAGAATCGACGCTCGAACATGATGATTGCATGAACTCGCTGCGTTGCAAGCCCGTTCGTCATCGAACGTGTGCAGTCCTAAAGCGTATCTCACGACAATGACACAGTATCGAAACGACGCTGAACCGTATCGTCGATTCATCATCCTCGCACCATTGGGTCGCGCACCGGCGTATTTGCAACTTTGACTCGGGTCCAGACTTCAGACGAGAACGGAAGAAATTGGGACTGACAGTGGGATCCTGATAGCCGAGAGGGAACGATTGTATTTTATCTATTTTGTAGGGGGGACTAACCAAAGCCGTACACGCAGCCTGCACGCAGATATCGATAAGACATCGCTTCATATCATATCAACAGCATCAGACAGCATCCCTGCGATACTTCATTTGGTTGGCTTGTTAGAGGGTGTAGGCGCGCCTGAACCGAAGACACATCCCCATGGCCCTCTATTCCTTTCAGTCGTTCTGATCCACTTTAATGCCGATTCATGCCTATCTCGATCCGGCCTGGACGACCGGAGAACGAGATTTAAAAGGCCGCTATGTCGTTTGCGTCCATGCAGCCGGGACCATGACGGTACAGGTAAGTGAACAGAGGGAGTTGGACAAAAATGCCGCTCCGACCGACACGCACCATGGATAAGTAGGGACTTCCGTGTCGTCTGCGAAAGTCCTGGAAGGCTAGGCTCACGGATTTTGTAATTACTGTGTGTGGATACGGGCGTCCGGGTTAGACAAATGCCTTCTTGAGGCAGTGCAAGAAGACTCATTCGTTCGTGTTCGCAGGTGCCGTAACATCCTAGCCTCAAGGATAGTGCCGCGAAGCCGTGAGTTCCATTGGCGTACAGGATCCAAGCCACTTGCATCACCCCATACGACACACGTGAAAACACGGTGCCCTTGCCAGTTCCGGGAACCCCCTGTGTCGGGGATGCGTCCTTCGAATGGAAGACGTCAAAGAAGCGTCATGCACATCGCCATCACCACTGCCAGTGGACTGGAAACGATGGGCCAAGCCGCTGGCATGGGAATTTCGTCGTCGCCGCCCAGAATGCTCAGCGCCGCAACATTGACGGAGTGATCTCATTAATATGACGTGGCGGCTGGCTTCAGTTGTCATACATGATGCAACAGAGCATACAACGGAGCAGAAGACGCTCCACGATGACCATGACATGGAAAGCCCTCTACGGACTCCATGCACAGAAAATCCTACCGAGCGGCGGGAGAGATGGAACGTGCGGGTCAATAGATACCGTATGCCGTGTGGAACATTCTGGTTCAGAACAGGCGTTATTGAGTAATGATACGCACCAAGAAGTGGAAAGATGGGACGCCCGGTGTCTGATCGTCACCACATGTGGGACATGTGGTGTCCTCGTGATCAAGTAACAAATAGCCGTTCGGATATGAACAGCACGACTGCACTCAGCCGTTTGTTGTGTTTCTGTTGGATATCAGCCTCCTACACTATTTTTCCGCTACTTTTCTTGTCTATTATACTTCCAAGGTACAGAGACACATGTGTCTGAGCCTTTTTATAACCGTATCGATGGAAATGGCAAAACACTTGCCATAATTTTAGGTTCGGATGACGAAAGTGAACCACTTCCATATATGGTAAAGAACTTGCGATGACCTCGTTGCTCGCTTCGTCACTTTTCCATAAATCCAACGTCAGTCCTTTCAAATTCTCCACCTCGTTCGTTTTAGTTTCTTCCCTCGTTCGACGACAAGACTTAGACGTTATTACAATGCTCGTACCCATCGCTCTCCTCATTTCTTCGCTTTTCGCTACCGTACAAGCCTCCATCTATGTGGGTACATCACATGGGTCGTTACAGTAATACCCTGACATCCTTTGTGCAGGTCACGAACCCCGTCCAATCTACCGTGTGTACGGGCGGTCAGTCATGTGAAGTGGACTGGGTCGACAATGGCGAATCCCCGCTCTTGAGTGACATTGGCGAATGTACCGTCGGTCTGTACAGTGGCGAAATGGTACGGCCACCGTAGTTCCGTAATGTCTCGCTCACTCGACGGGTAACCCCATAGGCATTTGTTCAATCCCTCCCCTCTGTCGATGTTTCCTCCACCTCGACGTTGTCGTTTACTGTAAGCTTGTACACTCACCCCATAGGGCACCCACTAATGGTTACTCCCAGCCCTAACCCTTCTGCTGGCCCCAACGGTCAATAGTGCGTCTTTTGCGCTTCCAGAGCTGTACTCAGGTCTAATATCAATTTGGACAGCTACATCGTCTTTACTAGCAGCGCCATTAGCTACCAAGGATTCTCCGCTTCATTCACGTGAGTTCTCTTCTGTTCCCGCCGGGCTCCTTCGGCTTACGTACACACCATCAGTCTGAGTGGCATGACGGGTACTACCGTAGGTGGTGGTACATCGTCCACCCCACCTGCTAGCAACGCGACAACTACCTCAAGCGCCTCTGGAGCGTCCTCCGCGTCTTCCACCGGAACTGCGACTGGTACTGCTACCGGTACTACAACTGCCACCACACCAGCTACGACCGTTTCCACCACTGTCACCACCGCTACGCCAGTCGTCACCACTTCTGGTACAAACACACTCACCGTTACCCCGACAACGACCTTCACCACTGCGACTACTAGCACTAGCACTCCTTCTCCTACCACTACTAACGCCGCTATTCGTGCTGGTTCTTCTGGTTCTCTCGCCGCCGCACTGTTCCTTGCTTGTGCTGGCGCCCTGGTTTTCTGAAGGAATAAATAAAATGAGCGTGGGTACTCGGTAGACTTCTTTTTTTTTTTTCATTTCGCGACATCATTTTTTCCACATCAGAACTCACTGGACCTGCCTTTCGCCACGATACCATGTTATGGTTACCATTGCTGTTGTTGTACTTGCTATTCTTAACGTTGACGACTTAATTACGGTTTCTACGCAATTGATGCAGTGACTTTTTATTTCCGCAGTGATATATACGGAGAGCGGAGGTTGAGAAATGGCATTTTGTGTGACTAGTGCGCGGATTGCTTTTGGTGAACGCCCGCGATGGGTACGGAAAATGATTTTTTTGAGGTCTTGACTTGCCCGTAGAGTCGGTGAATTTATTTAGGGGGGTAGTGATTGTTATTTGTAGCACCTTCCTAAAATGGGCCCAAACTACGTCGACTCGGGTCCTATGCGTGTCTTCCAAGAGACAGTCTTGATGGAACAGCCCAGACAGCCGACACGCAAGCAGAAGCAAAGAGACCCACCGAAATCTCAGCAAGGTCTTAATAATTATAATGGCAATAACAATGGCACAGAACGCCTCAAGACTGTGATACGCCGTTTACCACCTAATCTACCGGAGGATGTATTTTGGCAGAGCGTGCAGGCGTGGGTGACAGACGAGACAGCAACGTGGAAAGTGTTCTGTCCTGGCAAGTTGAAGAAACGGTGTGTGCATGGATCTCCACCGCTGACGGTGTAAGACGCCGAACGTTGACCGGGGTTTTGGGCATCGCATAGGATGAACAAGGAGAGTGTGCCCTCTCGTGCGTATATCGCATTCAAGAACGAGGAGGCGCTCGCGACGTTCAGTCGTGAATACGATGGGCATACTTTCAGGGATAAATCAGGTCAGTACGTTCCCCCGTTATCTCGTCCGGTACCCAAGTCTACACAAAATACCTCCATCGCTCACGATCATCCGATATCGATGTACAGGCAACGAATCGTATGCGATAGTTGAGTTCGCTCCGTTTCAAAAGATACCCGTTGAGAAACGCAAACCGGACCCCAGGATCAACACCATCGACAAGGGTATGTCGTCGATCTTGACACGTGCTTGCACAGGGGTTTGGGGGTGTAACTGACGGGGATACTTTTTAATGTGAATAGATGAGGATTATATTTCTTTCCTCGAGTCGTTGAAGAAGTCCGAAAAGTCGGAGCCGGTATCTCTCGAGGCAATTGGTAAGTCTCGAGTTCAAAGATATCTAGTCGACAAGTTATACTAGTATTCCTTTTCCCAGTGGCGGCTGCGCACCCTGCTCCACCACCTACGACCACCCCACTCCTCGAAGCACTCAAAGCCGAAAAATTAGCCCAGAAGGATAAAGACACCATTCTCCGTAGTCATGCCCACTACAAAGAGTCCGCCATAGCGGCTAAGAAAGAGGAGGCCAAGAAGAAAGTCGCTAATGTGGCACAACCGCAAGCTACGAGTGCCGATCAGAAATCTGCAAGTGAAGGAGGTGGGGCCCTCCAGCCGACGAGTAGGAAGTCGAGGAAAGCCGCGGCCGCGGCACAGAAGGCGGCTGCGCATGAGACCCAGCCCCCTGTGCGGATTGCAGTAAAGCCACCCCCACCTGTGGCTAGCACTGCTGCTGCCGGACCTACACCAACGGCCGCTGCATCAAACGTTGGGCCAGCCTCAACTCCCGCACAGCGCGCGCAACGCAATCGTCCAGCCAGGGGCCAGAAAGCTGCAGCAACTGCATCTGCTCAGGTCAAACCGATCGAGGCCGCTGTTCCTGCACCTCCAACTCCTGCTCTCGCACCCCTTGCCACTGAGGGCTGTGCGCCAGCTACTCCTTCGCATACACCTGCTACTACACAAACTCGTAAAGGGCGTCCCGTAGTTGGGATAGGGCGCCATTTCGAGGCTGCGATGAACAGCGTTGTTGGAAGTGGCATCGAGCGGAAGAGACGCGGCGAGAAGGAGAAAGAGACAGAGGCGGGTTCTATGTCCACCACGGGCGGCGGCGCACCAGAGGGAAAGAATCCGACCTCTGCTACCGGACCGGGCTCGAGCGCAGGCGCAAGCAAGCGGAAGGATCACCATCCCTCAGGCGGAAAGCAGAAAGAAAATAACAGTACCGCAGGCGGCGGTGCTGGCGGACCGAGTATTCTGCAACGCGGCGAAGCGTCTGATCCCATGGGAGAAGTTCCAATCATGCAGCGGCCGGATACACGAACTGGACCTCAGGGCGATGCGCCGTCTGTGCGTGGAGGGAGAAGGGGCGGCAGAGGTCGTGGTCGCGCTGCATATCGCGGTGGCTAATCGAATGAGCTGGTTGGTTGATGTGATCCGCATGTGTATAATTTCGACCCCTTCGCGTGCAACATCTTCTATGGGTCATGCTCAGTTCGTACACCGCTCTTCGATTTGTCACTCCAGTTGCCATCTCCGGCGCATCGGCATGGACCCGATCGGCGCCACTACTCTCCCCGAGTTCGACGCCGAAGGAGCAGTGGCGGAGACAGTTTGTCTTTCTTTGAAATGGATTGCTCATCTTCTGGCGATCTTCAGCATGTTCCGTTGAGCTTGTTGCTGTGCATCTTTTATATAGATACTTTCATGCAAGTATCTACGAAGAGAAATAGTGTATTCGCTCGCAAACCATTCGTCTCAAAGACGAAAGTGATTACACGACCATCAAAGACACATTACGCATACGGTACCGTGAATGATCTAGAACCTGTAGTTATTAGCAAATCCCGCAAATCACCAGATGCCGGTAACCGTATCAACAACGCATCAAAGACAAGCATGACCACATTACCCCGAATGGAATATGTAGGAAAGAGCAAACAAACTCAAGGGTGGAAAACAGAGGACAGAGGAAACTCGAAGAGGAGATGTAGGGACGGAAAAATTAGAGAACGGCTGCACTAACGAGGACCGCAGCAGCACCAACGAAGCCTGCAAGGCTCGTTACGCCGTGCCTGCCTGCGCCATTACTCTTAGAGGTGCTGGTTGCAGTACTGGCGGCAGCACTCCCGGTGGTAACCGCAGCTACGGTGGTAGCCTTGGCAGTGGTGGCAGCAGTCGCTGAGCCAGCACTAGAGGTCGGGCCACCGATGGGCGCAGTCGATTGACCATCGATCTCTGCTTGAAGTGAAGAGTTGAATGTACCTGACATTCCAGCCAAGCTGTTCGTGGTAATCTTAGATATCGTGGGAAGCGTCAAATAGGACGACATACGTGAATTTGGCGGAGAAAGCAAGAGCTGGGTATTGTGAGTTGGAGGCATCCTTGAGGTTTAGGGACTCGACACGAATAAAGCTGGAAAAATAGTCATGAGCGCACCGGGAGATGTAGGAACACTCAGAATACTCACTACTCGTTACTGTCCGGCCCAATGGTTGGACTGGGTGTGAAAGTTAGTGACGAGACATTTGCGACGCTGACGTTGCCCGAGATAAGTTGCAGGGAGGTCTGATGCAAAATGAGCAATGCAGAAAGACCAAGAAATTTGATATGAGACACACTTGTTGGTTAGCATTGCCCACATAGATGGAGAACTTCGCCAGGCCGAATGAGGCGAGGGAAGGAGAGGAGCCGTCGTCCTGCCAGTCGATAGTTGCTTCCTGACCACCAGTCCAAGTAGTGTCTGCAGTCGGAGAGGTAATCTGTGGTAGAGATGCCAATCAGTCTATTTGATTTCTCCCTTGTCCCATGGGACCGATTACGCACATAGACGTTGGCGAGCACTGAAGCTGCGAGGGCGAATGAGACGATAAGCGATTTGAACATCACTGCAATAAATGAGTGAAAGGTTCCAAAGGAATGTGGGGAGCTGGTAGGCTCTGGTAGTATGGACAAGTGGAGAGCGTGAGTTAGAGGGAGAAGGAAACCTGAGAACTCAGAGCACTCAAGTACTCAGGTACCGACGGAGTTCCAACTGAAAGGATACGAGAGATTGACTGGCACAAGTGCAGGTCTCCCATTGGCTGGCCGGCATCAATCTGGTACAGACGACAAAAAAAGACACCCACCGTAACGACGTATTTCGGTTGACGTCAACCGAAGCTGAACGTCGAACAGCAAGACGTGATTCGCCTAGAAGTTCTTCACCAACCTACTTACCCGCCTTTCTGAGTTGCCTTTGAGAGGTAACTATATTGTTGTGTTTTGCCTGCAGAGACGTTCAAGGAACAGGGTTCCCTGATTTTTCTTCCCATCGTTGGGAAAGCCAAGGGTTACAAGAAGTACCGTTGCAGGGACCTGCTTCTACTTGAAGGCAACATTCAACCGTACTATGATAGGTTGCCGTCTAACGAGTGGTTGAAATAAATCTGGTCATTCACGGCTCCCATGTCAAGAAAGTGACATGCGGTGGACTCGTGTCGTTCACTGAACCTGCCAGTCCGGCAGAGAGGACGGACAAATTGAGAGTAAATTCACTTGAAGGCAACTTTAAGGACAGCGCTCGCAACGTGTGAAGCTTCGAAGGCTTGCCAAGATGTCACTTGCCGTCGGATGCCAGTTTGCCGCTGGGGCCTCTCACGTGCACCAGCATAGGATGCGGTCATCATGTTTCCGACATACTATCGCGAGCTAGCCCGGGCTGCTTTCGCATATCCTGCAATCGACAACCATGCTCACCCGTTACTAACCGAAGAACATCGTAATATATTCCCTTTCGAAGGTTCCTATTCAGAGGCTGCCGGAGAGGCGCTCACAGATGACTCTGTCCATACGCTCGCATGCTATAGGTCGACATTCCAACTAGCCAAATTATTTGGTCTAAAAAGTGGCGAGGACAATTGGGAAGCTGTCAAGAAGAAGAGGTCCAGCTTGGACTATGCACATCTCTGCAAGATCTGCATGCAACCCTCGGGCATTCAGTGTATCCTCATAGACGATGGGTTATCTGGAGCCCGCGATTTCGCAGAGGGATACAAGTGGCATGATCATTTCACTTTCAGTCCGACGAGAAGGATCGTGCGCATTGAAGTGGAAGCTCAGGTGGGTGTTGTGCCTTTGCCCGTTTGTTGCATTATGCCTGGAACTCGTCACCCCAATGACGTTGTAGAATATGTTGCTAGATTTAGTCCGTTCCATGCTGTACGAGGTGGACCCTTCGACGGTCAGTAACCTTTTAGTTACCTTCAGTCATAACTTCGAGGCAAGGATCGTCACCTGTGCCAACGACACTGAAGTTGCTGGGTTCAAGTCCATCGCCTGCTACCGGTATGATTTTATGTCTCGGGCGTTACTTATCAATCCATTCTTCGCGGCAGCACTGGCCTTGACATTTCAACGTCCGGAGCCAAAGAAGACGTTGAAAAGAGTCTTCTGGAGGCTTGGACAGAGTACAAAGAGACAAGCGACCTCCAGTTCAAGCACAAGGGACTTAACGACCACCTTGTTCGTATCGTTCTGCGGATTGCTGGTCGATATCGAAAGCCAGGTGAGTGTCCTCCCTCATAGCGGTCACGATTACTAAAGTGGTGCATGCGTATATGCCAGTACAATTTCATACTGGTAATTCCCGCCTATGACATTTCATTGAGCACGCTGAAAATAGTGGGAAAGGACTCGGGGACAACGACATCACACTCACAAAATCATCGCCAGCTCACATGCAACCCGTCATTAAAGCGTTCCCCGAGACAACCTTTATCCTCCTCCACACCAGCTACCCCTACACTCGCGATGCAGGTTATCTGACCGCTGTGTACAAAAACGTTTATTTGGATTTCGGGGAAATTTTTCCTTGCCTTTCGGCGGACGGCCAGCGTGCCACTGTCAAGCAGATTTTGGAACTTTCTCCGACCAACAAAATATTGTGGTCTAGTATGCACACTCACGTCAACAAGAAAACCAATACTGAGTTATCCCCAGCGGATGGGCACTGGTGGCCCGAAACGTACTATCTCGCTAGCATGCAATCACGACAAGTCCTCTACGATGTAACAGTTGGAAAAATATTCCACCATTATAACACTCATGCTGTGCACTAGGTCTTCGCAGATTGCGTTCGCCGGGAAGAACTGACCGAAACGCAGGCTGCTTCGATTATCGAGAAAATGCTTTTCCACAACTCCAATAGGGTATACGGGTTGGGATTAACACCTAAACTTGATATAATCATGTGATTGGTGAAGAACAACCTTCAAATTTAAAGGTAGTCAGCCTCACGTTTCCTATCTACATAACACTACTTACGAGCTGTATAAGTATCCGAATCCTACTTGTGTCTCACGAGCTCTTGAGGTCAACATTCACAACACCGCAGGTAAAGTGGGCTTTACGAGAAATTATAAGAAGTGGAGAATCCCGTCGAGCTACATATCTCGTAACTCAGTGGTAGTATAGGGATAAGTGGTGGATAAATACATATATTGAATTCCGGCCAAAGGTCCGAGTTTATTGAACGACAGTACTGATAATAATGCACGTCGTGGCATTGTTCAATCAGGCATCAAGCCTCCAAATTCTACAGGTGACTCTGAAAAGTAAAAACATTTCTATATGTATGTACCTTATAGCGAGAAAAGCAACAACAGACACGTTACTCCAATATCGGTGCGTCAAACACGGTGCGCATAACATGCTCGGCCCTCCTGCCCGTATGTCTGATGAACCCGATATAATCGAGTTCGTGCAACGCACGAATGAACCGAGCCTGAGCCTCCAACCTCCAATTCTCCATTTGTTCTTCGGTTTCCTCCTCCGCCTGCTGTTCGGGAGGATCGTCGCTGTCCTGCTCTTTCCGCTGACGTCCCTTTCCACTACAGTTATGACGCGAAGGTGTCCGGGGGGTACGTGGGGTACGTGGGGTACGTGGGGTACGTGGTGTGGAAGGTCTCCCATTGCGCTCAAGCAGATTGCAGGATTGCGTCCGTTGGTGATGACGTTTTTGTTCCTCAAGGACAACCGCAAAGGATTCGAACCAGTCGTACACATTGATCATCTTGCCGCTGTCGAGGTACCGCTGGAATAGGATACTCGTGTCTGGCATGTGCAGCAAGGGGTCGTCTTCGTCCTCGCCATCGCTTTCAGTGTTATTGTGAGCGCTCTGTCCATTGGCTGCAGCGGACGCACTGAACGCTTGGGGATGGAGCAAGCCAGCGAGGATGGAGGCTCGGACAGAGGGATTAAACAACTAGAACTTAGGTCAGTCGGCATATGACCAGCTGCAGCTGCACGTACGTCATTTGGGAAAGGCGTTGACCCAGTGTACCAAATATCCCACAATGGTGTGTCCTCGAGGGAGACGATTCTCTCTCTACATGGTGAATACGTCATTTCAAATGTCAGAGTGAACGGGAAGCAATACGCACTCAAAATATGCCAGAAGCCACTCCGAGAGCAGTCCGGCCACAACATGAGCTTCGTCGTCTCTCGCAGAGAACGCCGTATCGATCCGCGATGTTACAGCCTTCTCGGTCTCTCGCACACTATCTGGTAGACCGGCAAGAAAATTGCGCAACTCTGGCAATAGTTTGTTGAGTTGTTCCTTCCGGAGCTTTCTAAGCTAAGTTAGTCGAGTACTAGGAGTGGAGCACAACAAGAACATACTTCACCATGGTACACAGGTACTTCATAACGTTCTGGATTCGCCCACGGATGGCACCACACATCAATTCGGGGAGCGTTGCCTCGATCTTATAGCCTTCCGCGATCATAAACGTACGAATCAAGAGGATCACTTGGAACGCTACTCGTAACAGCCTTACACGAGATCGGAAGGTTTTTCGCGCTGTCTGAACAGCTGATAGTAGACCGTCAAATGATGTATTTAACCACTCCCGTCGGCCATTGGCGTCCTGCGTACTATGAACACGGGTAAAAAGGGCGTCGAGGAAACCGAATGATGCGGGTTCACCAAGAACGCCGTTTCCAGCATCCGATGATCCAAGTTGTTCGTTGTGAAGAAAAACGGTCAGCGGCTCCTCAAAATGCTTCATATGTATGAGCTATGGTAACAATTAATAGTTGCAGGGATTGATTGGGTGCAGAGAAATCACTCCCACCTGCAAGATCGATACAAGACTATCGAGTGAGGCCGAGTGTCTCTCAAAGAAATCGACGAGGAAATCAATTTGAGCTGGTCCAATCATCAGCTCTGGTTCGAAATCCACGTCAAAAAACGTCTGGATGACATGACCCAGCGCTCAAAAGCTAAATTACCAAAAGGCATGTTACGTTACACACCTTCAGCAGTATCTCGTGCAAAATATCGTTGCTCCAAGGGAAGACACAGGTTCGGATTTGCAACAGAGACAGCGTACGTCGAGGGTAAGTCAGATGGATGTAGGAGGGTGATGGAGGCGAAGACAATAATAAAACGAATACCAATGGTAACCGAGGTATTGCAAGACTGAGGGTACAAATGGTTAGATACCAAGAAAACGGCGTGATGGTTGCGGGCCAACCTGCAAATCTCAAATAGGTCCTGAACCACGGCTGGTTCGAACTGCTCAAAATCGTGCAAAACGACCACCAGACGAATTTCGTTCTCGTTAATGTCTGTCGAATTCATAGAGTACACAGACGAGTTCACGTTCTTTGTTTACCCACCCCTTGCTCTGAGCAGCGCGTCAAACCACGCTTGCAACAGATTGAGGTCCATTGTGCTGAGCGAAGTTCCCGGTTTGCGTTTGCCGGAACCTGCGAGGGTCTATTTGGTGGGTAGTCTTGGCAGCAGGTTCAACTTTACCTACCTAGTTCTTGCTCATATTTTGTGATAAAGCCCGTTACAAGGGTCTTCATAGCAGAAGAGATATTCGGACAGTCGCTTGGAAATATATGCGTGACCAGATGACCACTATTGACATCTCCGAAGAGGGCGTCGTCATCACGCCCTTCTAGTTGGGACGTGATCTCATCCAAGAACAAGGAGGCACCGTTCGCTGCGCAGTTTTATGAATAGGTCGTCGGAATGACTGTTATGTTTCCTCACTTGATACTGATATGACAGGAAGTTCTGCGTACGGCAAGCCAGGCAAGAGGTCGATATACGACTTATTGACTAGTTCCGAGACTTTTTCTATCACGGGGGCGTGCAGGGCTCGGGTTAGGTCCTGTGGCATGGTCAGAAATAGATTCTCTCCAGCTGCACGAGTAGATAATCTTACCTGTATTCTGCCTAGGCATTTGAGCCAAGCTGCCCGGTAGGCTGCCAAACGTAGTTCATAACCGTTAGGGAGGTCCCGCTCTGGAAACAAGGTATATGAATCGCAGTCATCCTGTTCATCTGGTATACAGTCTCAAAACGATATTCGTGTCGGGTTACATAGCGACGTCTTTCACCTTCCTCCTGGTATGGGATATAAATTGTAGTCTGTTTGACGCAGTATCATTAACTCTGGCATAGAAGCGTCACGCCGTATTTACGAACCTGATTGATATCTTCCAGTCCACCATTTGATGCCATGACTGGTGGAGGTTAGTTGAGGATCGTGACTTTGCCCGCCCTAAACACAAAGCGAATTGACGCGTCGCGACGCGTTCGCATCTCTTTTCTTTACTTACTGGTGTGAAGTGTTGTGGTCAGAGACTCAAGATTATGTCGTCCCCACCCAGAGTCGATTTCCCAACGTCCGATCTCGAGGATGTCGAGATGGATGGACCAGCCCAGGATGGGAGCGCCGAAGACCAATCGATGTCCATCGCACCACAAAGGCTGTTCCTCGGGGGTACTCCATCCGTAGCTGGCACCCCAGTACGCCAGCGGCATGCAGCAGCCAGTAGTCCATTGGCAGGAATTACTGCAAGACGCGCGGTTGGAATGAGCACGCCGCGCCGGCCACCTCGCACTCCCTTGTTCGCACGTACGTAGCATCATCCGCGAATTTATGTCTATGCGGCCCATTGACACATGTATGACAGCTGGTAGCTCCTCGCCCTTGGCCTTCCCCAGTTCTTCGCCTGTCAAAACGCTACGGAAAAGAGTCACGATAGACTCTGATCCACCCGCACCAGATTCCTCAGAACCTCTGGCTTTTCCATCGTGAGTCTACTTCAATACTCGTAGTCCTCGCTCGTGTGCTCATCCGGAACAGGAGCCCAGCTCCCGTGATCACTCCTGCTAAGCTTCGGAGAGGAGACATTCGCTCTAGCTTTGCGCTCCCCACGGCAACGCCCCGTCAGGCCAGGAGGACGTATAATGCTGATATGAGCGATAACCTGCGATCTGATGGAACCCGCATGTCTATGCCCCTTTCCTCTGCGCCAACTTTTTCTGCTCCTGCGCTGCCGTCCGACGAGCCTGATCAAGTCCGCGCTATATGGGGTACCACAGTTAACATTGCAGAGACCATGAAACTTTTCCGCGATTTCCTACGTGGTTTCAAGCCAAAGTACAGGGTACGCCATGATCGAGAGCAAAATCTTCGCACGCGTGCATTTTCTTCTCCAGATGAAGCTGAAGTCGTGCTGTACGAGACCTACCTACGAATTATGCGCCAGACAGGTCAGACGAACCTAAACTTCGACATGGTCAACCTCCTCGCATACCCAGCATCTAAGAAGCTGTTCACGCAACTCCAGAAATACCCAGAGGAAATTGTCCCTGCTATGGATCAGGTTCTGAAGGACCTCATGTTGGAACTCGCTGAGGAGGATCAAAATGCTGGAATGGAAGGTATGCAAGGCGACCAGGGCGATGAAGAAATTGCAGACATTATGGCCAAGGTGTACAGAGTCCGTCCGTTTGGGCTGAAGGCTATCAACATGCGCGACCTCAATCCTACCGGTAAGTACAACTTGACGATGTCGCTGGTATCAACTAATCCGTAGTTCAAAGACACGGACAAACTTGTCTGCATCAAGGGTCTCGTTATCCGTGCAACTCCGGTCATCCCAGAGATGAAAGTCGCCTTCTTCCGGTGTCTAAAATGCTCGCACACAGCCCAAGTAGAAATAGACCGAGGTAAGATCGAGGAGCCAGCGAAATGTCCCCGTGATGTCTGTGAAGCAGTCGGAACAATGTCACTTGTGCACAACCGCTGCGACTTTTCCGACCGCCAAGTTATTCGACTTCAAGAGACTCCTGACTCTGTACCTGATGGCCAGACGCCGCACACTGTCACTCTGAGTGTGTACGACGAAATGGTGGACGTAGCGAAACCCGGCGATCGCATCATCGTAACTGGTGTATACAGGAGCGTACCAGTGCGAGTGAACCCTCGCCAACGAACCATGAGGAGCTTATTCAAGACATACCTGGACGTCGTACATACACGACTCGGGGCTGATGGTGCATTGGCCTTTGACCGCACTACGAGACCTGCTACTGGAGACCGCATGCCCGGAATTGGTGATTCTGGTGACGCCGAGGAGCCGGAATTCGAGGATGGCATTGCCGGTGGTCACAGGAGGAGGACGAGAAAAGCCGAACTTGAAGCCAAGCTAATCGAAATCAGCAGAAGGCACGACGTGTACGATTTCCTCGCACGCTCCGTAGCCCCATCGATATGGGGTATGGACGATGTCAAGAAAGGCGTTCTACTCCAGCTCTTCGGCGGCACTAACAAGAATATCGTAAGGGGTGGTGGAGGGGGTGGTCCAAGATACCGCGGGGATATTAATGTACTACTAGTAGGAGATCCTGGTACGAGTAAATCTCAAATTTTGCAGGTATGCATTTGTTGTATCGTACCATCCCCGGTGCTAAGCTGTCTTCGTAGTACGTTCATAAGATCGCACCTCGAGGGGTATATGCTTCAGGCAAGGGGTCCTCCGCGGTTGGTCTTACAGCATACGTTACACGGGACCCCGATTCGAAGCAACTTGTACTCGAGAGGTGAGATTTGCGGTGACTCAATAGTGCGGGCCAGCCCTTACAATGCTGTAGTGGAGCTCTCGTTCTGAGCGATGGAGGCGTCTGTTGTATTGACGAATTTGACAAAATGCCGGACGCCACTCGCAGTGTATTACATGAAGTCATGGTTAGCCTTCTCATCTTGTCAAGCATTTTTTTACCCTCTTGACGTGCCTCGATATTGAAGGAACAACAAACTGTATCGATAGCTAAAGCTGGTATCATTACAACTCTGAATGCCCGGACTTCCATCCTTGCCGCCGCAAATCCCGTCGAGTCGAGATATAATGTCAACCTTCCTGTGACACGGAACATCGACCTTCCCCCGACTCTCATTTCCCGATTCGACTTGCTTTACCTCGTCCTTGACCAGGTGGACGAGACATTGGATCGTAGACTAGCCGAACATCTTGTCGGCCTGTACCTTGAGGATGCCCCACTGACCGGTAGCGAATACGACATTCTGGTAGGTTTAAGCAGCTTGGCTCGAGGTGTTTAAATTGACGCCGTGTAGCCCCTTGAAGATTTAGCAGCATATATAAATTACGCTCGCAACCACCTCAATCCCGTGCTGAGTTCAGAAGCTAGTGACGAACTCGTGGCTGCGTACGTCTCTCTGCGCTCCGTTGGTGCATCCGACCCCCGGTCATCGGAGAAGAGAATCACTGCTACAACCCGCCAATTGGAGAGCATGATCCGTCTCTCCGAGGCACACGCTCGGATGCGTTTCGCCGCACACGTAGAAGCACAGGACGTCCAAGAAGCGTGCCGTCTCATGCGCGAGGCCATCAGGACCAGTGCGATGGATCCACGCACAGGCAAGATTGACATGGGCTTGCTCAATACGGGTACTGGCACAGGACAACGCAAGCTGCGAGACGACATGCGGAAAGAAATCTTGGCAGTATTGGAGGGCAGCAGTGGTAAGGGCAGGGGTATCAGATGGGGCGACGCTATGAGGCGTTTGGGCGAGCAGAGTAGCATTGCCGTTGATGCTGCAGAATTCACGGAGGTAATCAAGGCACTCGAGAATGAGGGCTTGCTGATCGTCATTGGGGAGCGGGACAAGAGGATGATTAGGAAGGTCGAGGGTGCGTGAGGGGAGGGTATTACGTTTTTCCAGGGAGACCTAAATGTACGGCTCAAATTCCAACCAGGAGGACACGCTGAAGGAAGGCGAAATTCACAATTGAAGGGGTTTGGTGTATCTCGTGTATCTCGATGTAGTGCCTCACGACATCACTCAACGTAGGCAACAAAATTATTTTACCAGTGTACCAACACACGTATATGTGAGATGCAGACGGCTCAGTTGTGTGGTGTGCTGGGCGACAACAGGTGCAAAGGGCCGAGAGCTCATGCAGTCCATCGATTCATGGACATAAAACTGAAGTGGATCGATGAAGCATAGATGAAAACCCCAACAGCGAAAGATGATTGTAGAAATGCTGTAAATAACAGAAAACAACTGGAATGGACCTGGGTAAGAGGGAAAAGTAAAGCGTCAATCCATGGAAAGACTATCAGTTTTATCATGTACCTACATAACCTATCAGATCCGAGCACACATCTCCTGGACTTCCTCTATAACTTTTTCCAAGCGTTGCATCCCATCGGTTTCCAGGACATCGCAGTCCCAGTTATCGGCCAGCATGTCTGTAACAACAGTCGGATGTGCCAGAATCCGATGTGGCGTCAACTCTTGCGAGTGAGCGTCGTATTTGTAGAAGCACAAGCGAGTGCCAAACGCACTAACGCCGTGCAAAACTGGTATGGCCAAGTTTGCTCGCAAGTCCCCAACACGCTTCCTCATCTGGCTATCCGCCTCTTTGCGTTTAGAACTGAAGCGGAAGGAGGCAGAGGGATTCACTTCCATCCAGAAGACCGGACGCCGTTGGAATGCTATAACGAAAATTATGGTGACGTTGGTACTATCACCTTGGATTTTGTACTGCGGCAGGAGCTCGTACGGGCCATCGAAAGAGAACAGATTATAGAGGAGACGAGTATATGGACCATAGAATACAGATTCGTTTGTGCCAGCAGGATCGCTCGCAACTGCTGATTTGAACGACCGGGTGATAAAGTCGGGCCACTCGGCCATTCTGATGGTGGGGGTTTGATATGCCAGTGCAAACTGTTACCGTATTGATGTCTCCATTTTGTTTGAAGCGGAGCTGCAAATGTGGGCATTGGATGGACCAGAACAAGTGTCTAATTTAGGTCCCGCTCAGCTACCTAGAAATTCACAAATCACTTTTCCACATTGTTTTGAAAACTACTATAAACTTTTGTAAAGATACTGATGTTGCTAGTCAAGCACAGTGCCATGGATCCTGGCATTCAGAGTCAAAACTCATAGCAGAGGCCTGCCAGAATGCAGAATGCAATTCCAAAGCCACCTTGAGCACCACAGTTCGAAAAATTCGCAGGTGGCGATGCCGTGGGAACTTCCTTAAAAGCAAATGCTGCCGTCAGGCGGGTGGCAGGGAAGGGGGTCGAGCATTTGGGTGGGCCCTGCTGGGCATCACACTGTCATGGCTCAGGCGGAATGGCTCGGGAGAGTGCCGAGGCACCCCGTTCATGTCCTACATATGTTTATCTATGTTTTTGGCTAATGAAAAGTGGGAAATTTGCGTCGGGAACAGGTTGTAAAGTGCAAAATCCACTTGTAAAGTGTGTTAAGTCACTTGGCACCGGGAAATTTGCAGCCAAATTTTCCCAGGTGGGAGGGCGGCCCGTGCCGATTTTTTTGCGTGGCGCTTGGTCGCGATCACGTGACCGCTTCCCGCGCCCGAACACCACTCATCCAGCACATTTGGGCGGGTCTCTTCGCAGAATATCCATTTATTTCATGAATAATTACATGGCCTGCATAGAGTGGCTTTCAGTAGCATTGAATTGAGTACCGATGAACAGGCAAGGGTTGTGCGCAGCCTGCAAGTCGCCGACCCTACTTTCTCGCACGCGACGTGCCCTCCACTTGGTCAGCGGCCCATACATTTGCAGTGGCTGTGTGCACAGCCACCAGCAAAATTTCCGGAATAAATTGAACTGACTTAGCTAATAGACTAGCTAAGTATGACACTGCATCTGTAACATTAAACAAACAAAAATAAAACAGCTGATTGCGCGACTTTTGCAGTAATGCGCAGAAAATTTGCAGGTGGCTGTTCCCACAGCTACTGACTAAGCAGGGCACATGCACGGGGGAGCGAGTGAGTCAGGGCTACACGCACTCCTCGCCCATTCCTCGGGACTCGTTTCGATGCTACTGTACATAACCCATGTAATAATGGGTATTTTGCCAAGAAACGGGCCCAAATTCGCTAGGCCAGTGATGACTTGTGGTGTGGAGTGCGGTCACATGAATTTGCAGGTGGCGATGCTGTGGGAATTTCCTGAAGGAGCAATCCTGCCACCAGGCGGGAGGGGCGGGGGAGGGGGTTGAGCGTTTGAGCGGGCCCTGTGGGGCATCATGGCCTTGTGGATTGGGCGGGATGACTGGGGAGGGTGCCGACGAACTGTGTTCACGTCCTGCCTACGTTTATCTATTTTATCTGCCTTCCTAGCTAGTGCAAAGTGGTACAAGGTGGCTGTGTTAAAAATTATGCAGGGGTAGTATAAAAAGTTGCGCAGGAGCAGTGCTGCAAAAGTCGCGCAATCAACTGTTTTATTTTTGTTTGTTTAATGTTACAGATGCAGCGTCATAGCTAAGTCATCATGTTGCTTTCTATGGTCAAAAAATTGGTCACCCCCGAAAAATTTGGGAAAAAATTTGAGCAAGATGTATACAAATCATTGTGTTTCTGCCTGCAACTGTAGTAGATCACTTTCGACAAACTGTTTTCCAGACCTGGACTAGGATAGTGCCCAGGGAATAAGATAGAAGATAGACACAGTTTGCATATTAACCCCCACCATCAGAATGGCCGAGTGGCCTGACTTTATCACCCGGTCATTCAAATCAGCAGTTGCCAGTGATCCTCCTGGTACAGACGAATCTGTATTCTATGGTCCATATACTCGTCTCCTCTATAATCTGTTCTCTCTGGATGGCCCGTACGAGGTCATGCCTCAGTACAAAGCCCGCGGCACTCAAGAGAAAATCGACATCACTGCAGTGTTTGTTGTAGAGCTCCGACAGCACCCAGTGCTCATAATAGAAATCAAATCCCCTGCCAACCTCCCCCTGCCTCTAAACGTGAAGAGGCGGATAATCAGATGAGGCAGCGTCTTCAGAGCTTAGGACGACAATTGACCATCCCTGTTCTACACGGCATCAGTGCATTTGGCACTTGCTTGTGCTTCTACACGTACCATACTCGCTCGCAAGAGGTGACACCGGCGGGTATTCCGGCTCACCCAACTCTTGTGTCAGATGTCGCTCCAGTCAATCGCTGGAATTGTGACGTCCTGCAAGCTGATGGAGTGGAACGCTTGAAAAAAGTTGTAGAGGAGGTGAAGCAGATGTGTACTCAAATCTGATCGGTTATGTGGGTACACAATAAAGCTGATAGTTGCTTCGCACACACTAAAGTCTTACTTCTCCCTCTCACCTAGCATGTGCCATGAACTGCCATGAACTAGCATTCAAGTGCAAAGATGCAAGACACGTCTCACTCCTGTATACATTCCTGTGTGTTTGAAGGTAGTAAAAAATTGTAGTTCGTGTTTCTACAGATATACTCCCATGGATCGACTCTGTCAAGCCCTGTCATCCCCTTCCCGATATGTTCAAGTGTGAATTTCACCCTCCTTCAACATTGCCTCTGGGTTGGAATTTGATTCATACCTTTGGGACCACTGAGTCAGCGGAAATCTTATTTCTCGAGTCCAAGTTGCTTTGAATCGGGTTCCCGTGTAATGTGGGCTGCAAGGCCGCCAAGGACCCCTTGCATGAAGCATGCACACCTCGGGATGCGATCTTATGACCGTACTACAAAGACAATTTAGACCCTGGATTCGAGAGTTAATCATGCTGGGCTCTCCCACTAGTAGTACATCCCGAAGGCCCTCTGGGCTCCCCTGCATGCCACAGCAACAATTGCGCACGAAGTTGGAGTATAGTTGAGTACGCAGTGGAAGTAAACTTCCGAGTGGCTGGGGCAATGTTCCCGCGACTTTTTCAGTTGCGAACAACTCGGAAAGGAGCCGCCGCGCTCGCGCTTACGATGGTTGCCCCCTTGCCTCGCGCAAATACGAATAAGTTGAGTGCTGACATATTAGTCGCAGAACTGGAAAGTGCCTGACTTCAACCCGAATTGGGAGATAAGGACATATGTGAGTGGCAGTGTTCGAAGTGCCAGCAGCATGCCAGTGGCTCGCCAGAAAGCCAGGCATGGCAAAGCCACAGACCACAACCATGGTGGTGGTGGAAAGTAACACATTCTGATTGGGTGAGGGTCACATGACATGGCAGTAAACAAAACAAATATTGTACTATGCTTCACCTGGTGCTTGTAAAACTCATGAATAGCACAACAACAACTCAATGATTTTTGGTCTAATTTTTTGTGGTAACAAGATTACACTTAGGACTGGTACCATGAAAATTTTGAGAAGAAAGAATGATGGAAAAGTTGTGAATAGTGAAGATAAAAATTGTAGGTCTGGATTCACCCATATCCTGTGCTGTCCAGCAGTAGATTCAAGGTGAAGAATCAAAGTTTCCTATCAATTTTTGTACTATCCAAAGTTATCTATGGGACTTCTGTGGCTTGCATAGATGTGAGATAGCTGATTAGTACCCATTCAATGGATCATCAGATGAGTTCTGCAACATCTTTTATCAAACAAAGTAGACAGAGTTATGTTTACACAGTACTGCTCATCATGCTATCAAATTCTTGCTCATCATCTTCACCCTCTGCATCAAGTTCAATTAATTCATACAGCTCCAATTCTTCATCCAGGGACCTAAGACCAATTCTCTCTGTCATCTCCACCCAGCTTTTGTCCTGAAAGTTGAAGAGTGAAGAGGGAGTGTCCTTCTCAAATGGAGAAGTGAAATCAACATCACCCTCATCATCTGCATCTGACCATTGGCCAAGGACATCAACCCCATGTAGCCCATATAGTCACAACATATAGGTAGCCTGCATGCCAAAATGCCAACACTTATATAGACCCCAAGACAGGCCTGTCTAAATAGATTAGCCATGACACATGGACAGGCCTGAGGGCCTATAGTGAGAGCAACATGTGTACAGGCCCATAAGTGCAATGCCACAACATATGGGAGGGCCTGTGGAGGGTAAGGATGCTGCAACATATAGATGGGCCTGTGACCAAGTAAGTATGCTGAGCTACTGTAAGACATGGACAGACCTGTCCATGGTAGGGTGCACCCCAGTCACAATATCAGGATGGGCCTGCCTATTGTATCATGAAGAAGGTTGCAACATATGGACAGGCCTGCCCATTGTAAGGAATCCACATTCCTTGGATGCATAAGCCCTATCATTGACCATTCTGCAACTATCCTTATGTTCCCAGACCTCTTGCATCTGCCATTGTTCACATGCTACATTCCTGCCTACCTCACTACCTTCCCACACCCTTGCTCCCTCTTGCACAATGCTATACCTGTGGCTGCTGTGCTCCAGTTGCTTCCCTTCCTTCAGATTCTTTCTTTTACATCAGGAAATTAATTGATGTCTATCGTGCCTTTCATGTGCATGGATAGTCAAAAAAGTCCAGATAGTTGCCAGGACTATTTCTAGTAGATTTGATTTCTATTTTGACTATCCATACTATTTTTCTGACTATTCATACCATTTCTGTCTGACTATCTGGTCTATTTTTGACTATTTGTACTATTTGTGACTTTCCAGACTTTTCATGAGGGTGACTTTTTTGATAGCAGGCTCACATAGTTCACAAATAATGCATCACGAGATCTCATTCATTTACCACAAAGCATAGTAGGGAAAAAAAATTAAAATGAGCATAGTAAGCGCTTGTGTCTTGATTCAAGTGCAAGCAGGGATTGGACAGCAGAAAGAATGATTAAATGTTTATGCTAACAGGTGTCTGAGTGATTGGGGGAGGGATGGGAGAGTATGCAATATATTTATGAAATATTCTGTGCTGTGTGATGTAGGGGATTGTGATGAGGGGACATCCAGCCAAGTCCATGCTGTCAACTGGTCAGCAAGATACTCATAGCATACAAAAAATCTCACAGATGCTTTGATGTAAATCAGTATTAACAGCAAAATAAAGCTCATCCATCAGGTCACCTGGAGAACTGCCATTGTCCAACATCTCTGTGGAGGGGATAATGAGGGTGTGAGCCATAGCAACAATCTCACTCATTGCAGCATTATTGCATTTAGGAATGGATGTGTGATAGTTGCGAGTGCTGGTGCCCCAATTCTGCTCAGAGAATGCCAGTGCACTTGATGACTCCTTCCCAGACACTTTGTTGAGCTTGAGTGGAGTTTTTGCCATCACCCTCATACCATGGGTACTCATTTGATTGTCAACTTGCACCTCCCCCCTTTAGAATAGCCAAATGGCATGCTCAAGCTAAAGTAACAGTTAAAACTACAGATCGATGACCAACAAAGAGTTATGTACTGCAGCAGCACCCCTCTGACAGCATGTTTCTTCATTGTGTTGGTGCCCAGTCCTGGAATGTCAGGGCATCTGATTCAAGGCCAAAGATGGGCATGCACAAAGAGTTGCAGAATGAAGTGTGATTGATAAGCATGTGCTGGGTTTGTTGCATTGAGGTCTTGATATAGGAAGGAAAGTGGTCCATCTATGAGTTCATTGCAAGTTCACCTGACAGTGGTGGCAGACTGTGCATCATCATCTGGATCTGATGCAAGAAAATGAGTGATGAGTGCGATGGCAGTAGAGCCAAAGTTGCTGTGCCACAGACCAAGTTGCTGAGTTGCCTGCCCAAAAAATGAGTCAAGCATCTAGTTTAAGTGTAAACAGAATAATCTTACCAGCATGAAGGTTGGCATCCCTGGGTGTACTGCATGAGAATCAAAATCTGAGACAAGGGAGGTTGTGATAATGCAAAGGGCAGTCGTGAGCTCCAGATCTGGGATTGCCCATGGATCAGGAAAGGACCTGGTGTGGGACACTACCTCCAGGTAGCGTGTGAATAGGGGAAAGCTGTAGGGGAAAATCCCTAGGCTTGACCCAAGGGGTGCTGAGTAGGAAGGAGACGTAGAATGTGATGGTAGAGTCGGTCGAAGAGTTGAATGTGGGTCATGGAATTTAATTCCGCAGAGTCGAAGGTAGGGACAGACTTGCTTTTGAAATTCCAGATGACGATATTGCACTGAGGAAGTAACTCCGAGACGAATTAAGTGCATGGGAGAGGAAAATGAGTACTAGCAGAACAAGGACACAAAGACACGGTAGACACAGTAGATGCAAAGACACGGATACACAGTGGACACAGAGGATGTGAAGACTCTTTGAACTCTTTAGACTCGCACAAGACACAGGATGTGGGTCCTAAAAGAGATGATTCTCATTTCATCGCTGAGGTGGAATTATATAGTACATGGATAGTAAGGTACTGATCAGAGAAATGTGGGGCGGGAGAAGCAAAACTCCGAAAAATAAAGGGGGCAACGTGTCAGACATCAAAGCCATACAGCAACATGTGAAAACAAACTGTAAGGTAGTAACTGAGAAAGACAACAGGAAAGACGGGTATCTTCTGACAGGACGAGTGTATGCTGTACCATAGAGTGGAATGTGAAGGGTAGAGGCCATAGGTAGAAAGGGGTTCTCACATTGCGGAGAAAGGTTTGCAGGAAAGGAACAAGATGGGTAACCGGAGTTTTTACTGATGATCTACATGGCTTCCTGGCTACGTGGCGAGGCGAGGGTCAAGGCAACACAACTGCAGAATTCCAGATAGATGAATGTCAGGTTGATGTTGACATGGAATTTTGGGACGGTGACTGATGTGCATTACTGATGGATAGGGAAGTTCCGAAGGTTTGACGGGCAAGGTGGCACACAAGGCAGATGCACGAGGCAGATGGGATAATTCCAAAGACGACAGATGTGGATGGTAATGGTGGAATTTTGGTGTTGGCATCCCTATTTCGGCCTCAGGGAGTATACTACTCCCTACACCTCCCAGGGTCTTCGAATGCTGATTGTCCTTGGTCAGAGGTCATCGAGTCATGACAGAAGGGTGGCGGAGATATTCGGAAGGTGATGTAACGAAGAAGGCTCGTGTTTGGCCACATGGTTTGTGTGAACAAAAACTCTGCACCTGGGTAACACATCAGCAACAGCCCTGTGGAATTAAAAACTTGCCCAGAAAACATCTCATCATCAGATTCACCCTTGTTACTCTACCACCTTGCTTCTCAGACTCTTGAAACTCTTGCCAACTACCATGCAAGCCTACTCCATCAACAATGCGTGTCCCATGTTCAGCATGAGGGACCAGGCAACCACAGCACTCACTGCAGCTCTAGGGCACATTTGGGACTTGATTGAGGGGGTGCCACAGCCAGAGGAGAGGCTGGAGACCATCTATGTGTGGGTGGAGGACTGGGACAAGACATGGGTGAGCAACCTTCCACTGCAGTGCATCACATGTTGACAGAGATCCACAGGCCAGCATTTGCTTGTGGTGGAAATACATCGACAACAATGGAATTTCTGTGCCAAAGGTTTGCAATGAGTGCATGCACAACTACACTGGGGAATCTGTGATGTGCCAAAGCCTTTTAGTCCTGGGTGCCATCGCCATCACCAACCTCCGTTGCCCAGTGGAGCAGAGGCAGATCCACATCAATGACATCTTTGAAGACTACCAGGAGAGGGTTGAGTTGAGGGTGCAGCTCAAGGCAGAGAGGTTGACAAGGGAACCCTCTATGCTCATGCTGTGAGTCAAAGTGAGGTTCAGTGGTGAAAACCAACCAAAACCAACACAAAAGACAATGAAAGCGAGTGGTGGTGTGCCTATGCAGTACCTAGATGGTAGAACCTGTTCTTTGGGAGGGTTTTTGCGAGCTACAACACTCAAAGATGAGTGCTGAGGGTTGGGGGTGCTCCTGACAAAGAGGGAGCAAGAATGTGATAGAAAGCAATAGGGTAGACTGCTGTCAGCCTACAGAAGGATGGATGGTGACTTAATTCAATGTCCTAAGCTGTACTGAGCTCAGGGAGGGCTTGGAGCAAAGTATATGGATGATAGATGATGATAAGCGAAGTGGATGATAGCTAGACCCTTAATAAAGTCTCAACTATCAAAGCTGATGAATGATTTACTGAGAGATGATAAATTGCGAGCAAGAGGGGCTCTCTGATGTCTTCTTTTTCTGCTACCTAAGTACAGTGACTTATATACAGTACAGGGGCATTGCCTATGGAAAACAAGGTGCAAACACTTGGTAAGTGATTGGTAACTGATGAGTAAGGAATGTAAGTGATGGGTAATCATCTTGGAAAGCATTGGTAAGCATTGGTAAGGATAAGTAAGCCAAAAAAAGCAAAGAATCAGTAAGCAAAGTCAAAAGGTTGGTAAGTATTGGCAATAGGTGAGTCAAAGACAGTCAGAATGTCACAGTATGAGTCAAGCAACATCAGGAACTGGGAAAGTGCACTGGAATCACATTAGGGGGAGGCTGTACATGTCACATCTCGAAGAGATCACTTCTAGGCCAAAGTGGGATGACAGAGAGGCAGCGCTGATCTGATGCCGATATAGTACATCCAAAAGTGGACAGGGTGAGTCAGATGTCAACAGGGGTCAAGCTTTGGGGGTCTGTGGGGTGACAGGAGCATAGGGGATCACAACTTTCCCTCCCAAACCATCCTCTCAGTGAAGCAAATAAAAACTTCATGAATGAGGCTCTGTTGGAAGAGAGGATGAAGGGGGAGTGTCTTCTGCTGTATCTTGCAACAAGGAGGCAAGATGTGCATCATACTTGTCATGGATGTGATCAGGGAGAGTGGAGAACAGTAGATTATACTGTAGCTGTCGCAATTTTGGAAGAATGATGGACGAGACTGGTATGAAGATGTTGCAGGGGGCAGGGAGGAAGGATCCATATGCTTCTTGGACTGGAGAGACTGAAATGACCACATAAGACCTTTCCAAGCAAATGACAGACCTGAGGCAACCAAAGAATGTCCTCCTGGAGGTCATACTGACAAAAAGAACATGCTGTCCAAGCTGGATGGGCTGAGAGGGGGCAGATGAGGGTGGGATGTACCAGGACACTTCAGGATGGAAGCTGGTAGGAACTCCTGGTAGATATATGTAGCCATGGTCCCTAGCAAAGGGGACAAGCAAAATGACTGATGTGGAGGCAGCCATATCAGAAGAATTAGTGAAATGAGTGTCTTTTGGAGGGAGTGCTGTAGAAATGTGTGGAGTGCGCAAATCCTTTCCAATCTTGGAAGGTAGGATCGCGTGGCTGAGCACTACAAGCGAGTGTGGGAATGGTTTCGGTGTCTGCAGAATTGGTGGAGATATGTCAAAAATCAGGATGCCATACATGGGCGCTTAAGAATTTTATTGGTGCTTAACCTGCCTCCTCCTTTTTCTTTGGCATTGACAACTTGTTCTTGTGCGAGGGATGACTGCCAACATTGCTGGCTGTCCTTCTTCACATGAGGGCTATGGTCTTCACCTCCATTCATCAGCTACATCCATGTCCACCTTACCAAACACCTTTGGTGTGTGACAGCAGAACCCTATCTAGAATGCAGGGCCGCAAGTCCAACAGCCCATGTGACCAACCTTAGGGCAGAGTCAAGTGGAGTTGGTCAGAACATGGACAGGGGACCTCAGAGAGGTGTGGAGATGTGTCAGGAGGGTCAGAGGAGCATGGGAACATGTTGGAGGAGGGCAGAGAAGCATGGGAACATGTTGGAAAAGGGTGGAGTAGGTGTTAGGGGCTTATGCTGGTGTCATAGTCATGACATAGTGTGCACGAGCTTTGCTAAGTGACTCAAATGTCTCAACAGAGAGCTTGCAGCATCTTGGCGACTGGACACCACCTAGGTGGGAGAAGTATCTCTCGACCTCTGCTGCATGAGGAACAATGGAATGGATGACTATTGCCAGGACCTTGAGAGGGCAACGCTCTGCAGTAACTGGAAGGCCCTTCCACCATTCAAGGGCATCAACTTCGCCTCCCACAAAGGTACCTGAACACCTCTGGTACTCTTTAAGATTGAGAGTAAGTGCTGTTGCAACGTCCTTGCTCCATCTCCACTGCTTGGTGATCTCGAGAGTGGTCTGGACAAAGGAATTAAAGGGATGGCCATTTGTAACTTGTGAGATTGCCAATCTGCGACACATTGGGTGCAGAAACAGAGCGAGGGAATGGATTTTGGTATCCATGGTGAAGAATCATTGATTGAAGACAGAGCGAGCATGTGTCCAAAATGAGAGATTGTCTCCAGACTCAAAAGTGAGCCAAGACATTGTCCTTGCACAATGGATGAGTGCAATCATGCAGGAGGCTAGTGAAGCATCTTGGGACTCGCAGTCACCAATCATGTCAACAACAGGCTTCACTGTTCGAATTAACTGGTCAATTCCAGGCCAGAACTCTTCGTCACAAAGTGTGATATTGATAATATCAGTGGGAACTGGTGAAAGCCCATCCATCTGATGCTGTGCATCAGGCCGAAGACAGATTATTGAGAGTGCTTGGCTAATTGTCTCACATAAATCCTGGGGTATATATGACTACAGAACTGCATGCTCACTGGTGTTCATTTACACTAATGGCTAGTAAAATCAGTGCATACCAATGGGATTCACAATTTTGCTTGAGGGTGCGCTTGATATTCTGTGCCAGTGCCTCCTTTTTAAGCTGCCCACCCCAGAAATGTGAATTATTGAAAAAGGTAACTATCCATTGTCACACACCAAAGGTGTTTGGTGAGGTGGACATGGATGTAGCTGATGAATGGAGGTGAAGACCATAGCCCTCATGTGAAGAAGGACAGCCAGCAATGTTGGCAGTCATCCCTCACACAAGAACAAGTTGTCAATGCCAAAGAAAAAGGAGGAGGCAGGTTAAGTGCCAATAAAATTCTTAAGCGCCCATGTATGGCATCCTGATTTTTGACATATCTCCACCAATTCTGCAGACACCGAAACCATTCCCACACTCACTTGTAGTGCTCAGCCACGCGATCCTACCTTCCAAGATTGGAAAGGATTTGCGCACTCCACACATTTCTACAGCACTCCCTCCAAAAGACACTCATTTCACTAATTCTTCTGATATGGCTGCCTCCACATCAGTCATTTTGCTTGTCCCCTTTGCTAGGGACCATGGCTACATATATCTACCAGGAGTTCCTACCAGCTTCCATCCTGAAGTGTCCTGGTACATCCCACCCTCATCTGCCCCCTCTCAGCCCATCCAGCTTGGACAGCATGTTCTTTTTGTCAGTATGACCTCCAGGAGGACATTCTTTGGTTGCCTCAGGTCTGTCATTTGCTTGGAAAGGTCTTATGTGGTCATTTCAGTCTCTCCAGTCCAAGAAGCATATGGATCCTTCCTCCCTGCCCCCTGCAACATCTTCATACCAGTCTCGTCCATCATTCTTCCAAAATTGCGACAGCTACAGTATAATCTACTGTTCTCCACTCTCCCTGATCACATCCATGACAAGTATGATGCACATCTTGCCTCCTTGTTGCAAGATACAGCAGAAGACACTCCCCCTTCATCCTCTCTTCCAACAGAGCCTCATTCATGAAGTTTTTATTTGCTTCACTGAGAGGATGGTTTGGGAGGGAAAGTTGTGATCCCCTATGCTCCTGTCACCCCACAGACCCCCAAAGCTTGACCCCTGTTGACATCTGACTCACCCTGTCCACTTTTGGATGTACTATATCGGCATCAGATCAGCGCTGCCTCTCTGTCATCCCACTTTGGCCTAGAAGTGATCTCTTCGAGATGTGACATGTACAGCCTCCCCCTAATGTGATTCCAGTGCACTTTCCCAGTTCCTGATGTTGCTTGACTCATACTGTGACATTCTGACTGTCTTTGACTCACCTATTGCCAATACTTACCAACCTTTTGACTTTGCTTACTGATTCTTTGCTTTTTTTGGCTTACTTATCCTTACCAATGCTTACCAATGCTTTCCAAGATGATTACCCATCACTTACATTCCTTACTCATCAGTTACCAATCACTTACCAAGTGTTTGCACCTTGTTTTCCATAGGCAATGCCCCTGTACTGTATATAAGTCACTGTACTTAGGTAGCAGAAAAAGAAGACATCAGAGAGCCCCTCTTGCTCGCAATTTATCATCTCTCAGTAAATCATTCATCAGCTTTGATAGTTGAGACTTTATTAAGGGTCTAGCTATCATCCACTTCGCTTATCATCATCTATCATCCATATACTTTGCTCCAAGCCCTCCCTGAGCTCAGTACAGCTTAGGACATTGAATTAAGTCACCATCCATCCTTCTGTAGGCTGACAGCAGTCTACCCTATTGCTTTCTATCACATTCTTGCTCCCTCTTTGTCAGGAGCACCCCCAACCCTCAGCACTCATCTTTGAGTGTTGTAGCTCGCAAAAACCCTCCCAAAGAACAGGTTCTACCATCTAGGTACTGCATAGGCACACCACCACTCGCTTTCATTGTCTTTTGTGTTGGTTTTGGTTGGTTTTCACCACTGAACCTCACTTTGACTCACAGTGGTGCAACTCCTCATTGTGGGAGTAGATGAGGATGTCATCAAGGTAAACAACAACACAGACATCGAGCATGTCAGCAAAGATGCTATTAACAAACTGCTGGAAGGCCACTGGCGCATTAGTAAGACCAAAGGGCATAACCAACCATTCATAGGAACCATGGTGAGTGCGAAAGGCAGTTTTCCATTTGTCACCAGCACT